TTTTTTTTAAGGGTAAATGTTCATTGTTAATTAAGATTTACTAATTAAAATGAAAATAATTAACGAGAACGCTTAAGCTCCGAATATTAGCCCGCACTTTGAAAGAAAAGAAGTTTTTGTGGGTGGCATTTCCTCTCTCTATTAAGAGTGCATTTCGCGCCATCAGTCAATGGGTGCAAAGCCCGGAGAAGCGATGTCGGCGACAGGACGGCGGCGCGCCAGCCAAAAAGCGTGGCGGATCCCTCTGTGGAGCCTTTGATCTCATCTGGAGGAGTGCTGTAATGTTACGGCACTTTAGGCGGCGCTCAGGCTCGCGGCAAACAAACCGCCGTCTGATATGGAAAAATTGGCCCGCTTCACCTTCTGCCGTCTTCTCGACGCGCAAACACGCCGGCCGGATCGTAACAATAGCTCCCGAAGACGTGCATGCGATGCCGTTTTATTGTCTTTCCTTTGGATCTTCCTTCTTTTTGTCCCTCCCCTGCCTTCTTTCATCCTCTTTTGTAGGTGTGGGGGTTTGAAGGCCTCCGTCACCTCCTCCCAAATGGGAGAGATGTGTGGGCTAAACCACTTTGCCACCAATTATACTCATTTCTTCACGTTTTTTTTTTTTTTTTGCTGACAAACCGATAAGTCCTGCCTACCACGAATGGAGCATTTTTATTTATTTTTTGCCATATGCTACAGTATCAACGTGTTATTTTGGGTCTGAATACACCTATAATACAATGCCAAGATTGTTGCTGATCATATTGATGAGTTATTTCTAACATGAAGCACAAGGTTGGGAAGATTATCGACTTTGGCGCACTCCTCAAAGCCCTTCTCGACATCGCCGCTCGGTGCTTTGGAGGACGATTTTCAAAGACGATGCACGTCGCAGTTTGGTTAGCAAATTGCCCGAAACTGGAAAGGATCGACACTACCAATCCGTAGTCCACATGAGAGGTCAACCAACAACCAAAAAATTGCAGCCATTAATTCAACATCGGTTTTGTTTTTTCCCCACCACGCAGATAACTCTGCGATTCTTTTTATTTTCATTGTCAAAAGTAGTGCATGGTACCACAGTCATTGATCCAGCAAAGTTTGAGCTGTTTCCATTGGGCTACCAACCGATCAGTAGCCGCGCCGGGGACGCTTGAATGGATTTTTCGCTGTCTCTGAATGGCTTCAAAAAGGACTTGCGTTTGTTGTTCCAGACGCAGCCAAGTGCAGCTCCTCAGCCCGTGGAGGTGTGTGTGCGTTGTCTCAGGGCCACCAGAGACAAGCTTCCCAGGGGCCTTTACAGTGTCAGCGTGGCCCTTCACAGCCGTCTCGGGGGTCCGTCTCTCGCCTGGAATCGTGAGAGAGGGCGGCAAGAAGGGATGGCATCCACTGACCCGATTGAACACCAGGGCTGCTTCTACGACACAACCCTGCACATCAACCAGAATCTCTTCATGGTGAGAGCAAATCAGGAATAAACGTACCCAAAAAAAAAAGCGATACAAAACTGATGTTAATCTTACAAATGGTGGATATAAGTGTATGATTGATACAGTGTTGCCAACTTAGCGACTTTTCAGATGCCTCTAGTGACTCTTTTTTCAAAAAGCGACTAGCGACAAATCTAGCGACTGTTATCGGAGACTTGAATGGGAAGGCGCATCTCGTTCTTCTTGTTCTCGACGTGCAGCGGGTGCTTCCGTCGGCCTTTGCCCCCTACCGAAGCGCTCACTTAAAAAAAAACGAAACGGAATGAGCGCTGAGCATTAGTGACCATCCTTTTCTCAACCGTTCTATCGTCTCTTTTGAGTTAGATTGTTCATGTAGATTGTATACAACAAAATAAGATTCAAATGTTTCATTGTGGGCGGCCCGGCGGCCGACTGGCGCGGATGGTTGTTGGTCTGTGCGTGCTCCGCGATTGGCTGGCAACCAGTTCGGGGCGTCGCCCGCCTACTGCCCGAAGACAGCTGGGATCGGCTCCGGCACGCGCCGCGACCCTCCTGAGGAGAAGCGGATCAGAAAAAAAAAACAAACCAAACTTAAGAAAACTTAACTTACAACTTAAAAAAAAAATCAGTAACTCCGCTTTTGCTGATCCCAAGTAAGAAACAAGAATGGACAGTTCATTTGTCATTCCAAATATATTTCGGTTGGGATATTTTTTTTTGTTTGTTTTCTTCCTCACCTTTTGTCTTTCCCGCAACGTGATTCCTCTCCTGCAGCGTTCATTCCAACACGGTCAATGATGCAAAGCGTCATTTCGGGACAGCCAATAGCCAGTTTGCTTACTGAGGACTTGGCAACACTGGATTGATAACCGCCATGCTTTTTTTAAGTGATGTGTAAATAGTGGCGCGTTAGCATAACTGGTTTGCAGTCAGCCTTGCGATTGACAGGTAAGACTCGCATGGCTCAATGAGAACCGAGAGATCGTGTCTGGCAGGTAACAGTGACATGTTGCCTTCATTTCCTCTGTTGACTCTAATATGCTTTCTATTCAAGCGGGGAAAGACAGAACGGGGCGCTTCATTGAAAGGCGCCTCTATTTACATTATGCTCGGCGAGGTTGCCTTGAAAGCGCCCTCCTCTCAGATGTCTGCACGATGAAAAAAGCGGCAGAAATGCAAAACATGTGCTGCCCGCGCAATGCTGACACCGCACGGGAAAACGCGCTCGGTTCCATTGATGGTGCAACATCAGAAGATGCAGTCCCGACAACCCGCCCGCCGCCTTTTTGTGCTCATGTAGCCTAGCCGCACGGCACTGCACGCGATATCTCAAACTCACCGTCCCATTTCTCGCAGTTTCATCATTTGCAGCGAAGACGGAGCGGTTTTCTCCACGTGAAACGCTCACGAGAAGTTCTATCACTGCAAAAAGACAGCGTACATGAAAATATGCCACGCGCAGCCCGCAGGTTTTTTTTCTCTGGGCTTTTGCCATGAATAAAAGAACAACTTTTCAACGTGACATTTAACCCGTGCATGTAAATCCAAACCGCTATCAATTATTCATTTAAATAAGGAAGTCATGTTTTATTGGAATGAGGATGAAGTTGAAATGCATTAAAAAAAAAACATGCAAGGGTCTCCTCTGTCCATGTGCATTGGGGAGCATAATCGTGCCGGATTTGGATATGGGTTGATGGGAATGAGAGAAAAGTTCTGCAGAACTGGTATATGCCGGACGTTCAAAATTTTGCATCCAAATCTCAATACGGGGACTTTGAGTCCGTTAAAAAGACGATAACGTTAAGGATGCGGCGGTTTGAGAGGATTTGGTTCTGTACTGCCAACGATATTTTTGGAATACGTCGCAAACATCTCGACTCTTTCAATGTGTCTTTTGAGCAAAGCGGTTGAAGATAATGGAGTCCATCCGTACCCTACTGTTGATAAAGATCTTCTTTGGAAGGACGCGTCATGTGATGAAAAACATCAACAGCATCGGGTGCCAAGGCCTGAAGGAATCCGTTTGGATGGTCACTCATGAAAGTCTTTGTTTGCTTTCATTCAGTGACGTACGTGTAGACCTCCAAACAGAAGTTGAAGGGTTTCTCTCGCTATTACGCCATTCAGTCCAAAAGTATTCAGCAAATGTGGACACTGTCAACATACTTGTGGGCGTATTCACAGAGCATCCGGATGAGATTGTCTCCTACTCCCATCAAATAGAAAGAGAAAAAACTGGCATGAAGTGAATAAGGACCTGGGATCGGATTCAGAAGTTGAGGGGGGAAAAAAAATTTGGTTTCAGTACAGCACGGTAAACGGCTCATGTCACCCCCCCCCCCTCTTCAAAGCTATTGAAGAACCTGTTGTTATTGTGCTCATTGATGGCAGTGAAACCACTGATCAGATTTGTGTGACTATCGGGGCTTTCTTGGATGTTTTCGTTCTCCTGTCAGCCCACACTAGAGCGTGCGATCTTTCCAAGGCCTCGCAGAGCTTTCGAAGAGGAAATGAGGAATTAGTGATAGTAGGAGGAAGCCAGGAGCTTATTTTGCCCCCCCCCCCCCCATCTCTTTTTTTCATGCACTCTTCACTTTGCACGTCTGGGTTTGCATTTAGACAGAAACAGATCCACTTGAGCTGGCGAGTGGGAGCGAAACAGTCAGGCCTGCTGTCTTTGTTCCCTCTTTTTTTCTTTTTTCTTTTTTTTAAGCATATGGGAAGCTAGACAAAAGTTTGAAGGTTGAGAGGATTTGAGATTTGGGATCCCCAATATTCATTTCCCACCCCTCCTACAATCTGCTTTTATGGTCACTAAGAAAGTATTCAACAGACACGCATGATAAGCGCACGTCAATGGATTTTGGATGATTGAGCTATTTCACCGGAAACTCTGTCCGACACAATGCTGCTTGAAGTGTTGAGATGCGTATGTTCGATGAAAAATAACCCATCCATTTCCGATCACGCGTTACCCCAGGGGTGTCCAAACTTTTCCGTTTGAGGGCCGTATAAAAAACAAAGGAAGGATGAAGGGGCCACTTTCAAACGCATCAGCTCTTTGAAACGCGCTCAAGTCAGTCAAGAGCGCAAGTCGAGATTGTTTGCATTGTTCACCAGCTAACCCAAACCCACAATGTCGATGAAACGTTCTGGCGAGTATTTCTAAAAACTGCCCCTGGTTTGTAACAAAACGTTTATACTTTTTTTTTTTTTTTAACAGCTTGGGCCATTATTGTATATGTAATCATTGTAAAAGACAAAGACTACTTCACGGATTTCACTCATCATGAGTTCTTAACTCCCGCGAGTAAGGAGGGATTACTGTATAGAGAAAAATTCAACAGTACACCCTCCATTCTCACTCACTCCATTCTCCGCTAATACCTGTCGTTTTGGTATACTAAAAGCAAAGAACACAGGAGAGGAAATGTGATTTACGGCTTCAAACACAGACTCGATGCTTTCCGTTTCAACGAATAAAAAGATGACATCTATTTTCACCCGGTGATGGATGAAGTGGCACACAATTCACTGTCGGTTCATTTTTTTTCCCGTTCTCCATCTGAATAAGAAAGCGCATGTTTGGTATGGAGTGTGATCACCGCTAATGCTATTAGCCTCATGCGAGATGGCCTCAATATCATCGGGTTGATTGATGGTCGCCTCCGTACGTTGCAAATCGACTCACCGACAGCTCACGGACTACTTGGGCAATCGTCACTTTTCCCCCACTTTGTGTTTGACGGCGACAGTCTTTGTCCCGCCAACGTTTGGAGAGAGTTGGACGGGGAGGGATGACAGTTAAGGAGGCTGGAAATAAATTCAAGGTGGATTCAAGACGAGGATGTCGATGAAGTGGCTGCTTTTGCTGTTGTTGTTCCCTCCAGTCTGTCACTGGCTTTGTGGGTTAGAGCAACTGTGTGCTTGTTGACTTCATTACAGTAGTCGTGCATTAGCAAAAGCACCGTGTGCATACGTGTGCCTCCGTTGCCGGCTGCACCTGCAGGCACGCGTGTTGGCCTGCATAAAATGAGTTTGTTTTCTCTGCGTCTCCTGTCTGCAGATCTTCCCCCCCGCCTGTGAGATCCTCCCTTGCATGGTCCTCATCTTCCGACTGACGGCATCGCCGGGACAAAGCGGCTACATGAAGTCTGTTCCGGCTTGGGGGGCGTTTCCCATCTGCGGACCGAGCCTTGGCCTGCTTCACGGCAGGTATGTTAGCGGGAGTGGAATTCGGTGTGGCGTTTGGACACGTTTGCGCGGGTTCCACCTGCTGTCAGCCGTCCCGCCATTCATCCATCCGACAGGTATCCCGCCTGTGCCCATTGGGATCGCAGGTGCGCGCCAGTCGGTCCCGTCTGACTGGCTAGAGGTGCACTGATCGCCAGTCGGTCTGATGCAAGTTTTGTGCAAATGAAAAGATTCACGTTCAAATATTTGGAGCAATTTAGAGGTTTGATAAACTGACCACGCCTGTTTTTGGAATGTGGGAGGAAGCAGAAGTAGACCCCCCCCCCCCCCCAAAAACAAACAAACATGCAACATGCAAGTACAGGGAGATCATACGGTCCACATAAGAAGACTCGAGCAGATATTTGAAGCCCAAATGGGAGATCCGTGAGGCAGACATGCAAATCGTTCACTTTTCTCACCCCCTTTTCCTCATCCAAAATCAATAGCTACTCTTTCAAGTCACTCTCCTCACTTTTTCCTGAACCAGGTACAAAACTCCACTGCTCAGAGGGGAGCCCAGCACGCAAGTGGACCAGTTTCAGAAAATCGAAGCGCTCATCTCCTCTGATCTGGATAACTGGCTGTGCAATCTGTACTTCCAGGTGAGCGTCGGTGTGTCTCTGCTACCAGTTTAGCTGTTGTATTCCCCAAAAAAGGGACAAATCTCCCCCGCAAAGGATACTTGACTCCTTCCCCTTTTGACAATTTATCCCAGTGAGTCGTACGAGTCATTGCGCAACTTTTATTTCGACAGAAGATTGCTGTGCCGAGACTCAGCATCTTTGCATTCAATGCCCAAAAATTCAACCCATAAAAAAAAAAAAAAAAAATCAAACAAGTGTCCTCATTTCACACTGTGACAAATACGAACGGCGGAAGTTTGATCACTGTACTGCAATTAGACACGCATGCTGCTCTCCTGCAATTAACGGTGATGCAGATCCAAGAGAGTACCGTATTCAAACTCGGGTGTCGAAAGCAGGGCGGTCCAAAATTTTTTGTCAGAGGGCCGCATATAGAAAGGATGAATGGAAGGACGAAAGGGCCACTTTTAAATTCTTTTTCAAACAAGCTCAAGTCAGTCAAGAAAGCAATTCTAGATTGTTTGTATTCTCTCGTTCATTTCATCAGCTTTCTGTGAAGACAAATAGTTGAGGATTGTTTCCAAATTTTTGGGATGGCCAGCAGCCCTCTCTCGCTCTCTGTCTGTCTCTCTCACAGAGTAGATCCAGCTCTGCACTAAACAGCAGCCGAATCCCATCTCCGCATTCAGAGCCCAGAAAAAAGAAAAAAAAACTGTCGTAAGGGGGCCATTTTTCAAACGGTTGCTTGAGGATCATTCAAGTGACGTCGTCATCAGTCAGCCAGAGAGCACAAAGTGGAAGAAAAACTCTTTTGGCCTTCAAAATGGAATTATCTTTATTCACGACAGTGCTTTGAAGATAAATTGGGTTATTCTTTGAATCATTTCTTTGTATATTCAACGATCGCGAAAAGTCTCCACCCTCCCTTCTCACTATGCTCACCTTCACCTTTTTGAACTAACCTCACGGCCCATGTCAAATGTCATTTCTATTTATTTATTGTCACGTCGGGGGCCAAAATGGCCCCCGGGCCGTAGCTTGGTCGAGATGTAGTTTCAAGGAATATCCACTGGTTCATTGTTTCAGATCAGGAAACTCCCATTAGGCGCATCCGGGTCACCGGAGTGCCCCGTCGCCCGACGGATGCCGCCTTTACGCACCCCTGCGATGCTCCAGCCCGCCGTCCGGCACGACCGACCGCCGGGTCGGGCTCCCTCCGGGTCCAAACCCGATCCACAGCCGACGCATCCGCAGTTGAACCCGCTCCACGCCGGCCCCAGCGGTGGGGCGGGAGAACGCGCCGGGATGCGCTCCCCCCGGGGCTCTCCCCTGCACCTGTCAGCGGATTCCGCTTGCTCTTCCTCATCTCTGCCAGGTAGGGGTTTCATGTTCACTTACTTCCGACCATGCCACAGTGGGAAGAAAATGTCACCCTAATGTCACTCCCGAGTGCCATCGGAAGAGTGGCAGTTTTCACTCAGTGGCGTACAAGTGCCGCAGGGCAGGGATGGGTAGAGACAGCGGGCAAAGCTTGCTTAGACACGTTGCCAGAAAAACAGCAGAAGCATTCCAAAAAAAAAAAAAAGAAAAAAAAATCTCACCAAATATTTGCACAGTGACTATTATGGCTGATAGACCCTGACTTAACACACAACACGTCTGCATTACACCCACCTCTAAAATACATAAACCATCGGGGTGAGCAAGGCCAACGAAGAGCTCAGTCGGGTGGATCGTTTTGACACAATGTGACAGGAAAAAAAAGGCACGTAAATATCCACTTGTTGTTGAGATGCAAGAAGCGTTTGGTTTCGTGGCGGTTTTCTTTCTCCCCAACGTCCGCGTGGAAAGAAGAGCAAAGTGCAGCACCGAAGGCAGCGTCCCATATTCAAAGTGACTCAATGTAGTTTGCGCATGCCGCCATCGATCGGATTATGCCATCAGCCTCGTTGTTACGAATGCAACTTTAGCGAAAGCCTTGCTCATCTTTATTTAACAGTCCTCAAAAGTTTCTGTCATGTTGTGCTCGAAACATCACACGGGCTTTTTAATTACAAATGAGTTGTGACAGGTCTGCTGGGTAGCGGGCCGGCCCATTTTAAAAGTGATGCCGGCTGACAGCTCGGCAGTGTTCTCCCAGCGCCGAAACATGTGGAAGAAATTGCTCTTTTACATTTCACAGCTTGTCGCTTCCTCCGCCAACTGACCTGTGACCCCCCCACAGAGATCCTAACGCCCACGAGGGATACGTCCCCCGACGAACCGAGCGGCTTTCGACAGAGCGCGAAAGAGGGAGGCGCTCGCCGTGAGATTCGTGCTCGGCCGCCGCGCGGCTCGAGGTAGCGGGTCCGCGCAAACCACAGATGCGCGCGTCGGCACATGCGAGCGCCCTTGTAGGGCCGGTGAGAAGTTTGCCGGGGAAGCGAACCCGATCCGTGAGTGAAATAGCGGCTCCAAAAGGTTGTCCGGCAAGGTCCCTCGTTCCTGCCGCCGGCTAAGCCAAAGTGACGTTTTCTCCTCATTTGCATGCAGATCCGTTCATGTTGCGTGACGTCTGGAGGAAATTCAGGTGTTTATGTGGAGGGATTACGACAACATTGAAGGAAGCCCCCAGTCGGACAGCTTCAGACCATCTTGAAAATGCTAATCTACCGCAACGAGGGAAAGAGGAGCAAATTATTCAGCCCGCTCTTGCCGCTTTTTTTGTCAAGTCTGAGGGTTTGAGACATTTCCTTCCCATTTATTTCTAATACGTTCTGTGTGACGGGGGGTGCGGGGGGGGTCTCATTACCCGTTTGTCTCGGAATCGACGGAAATATATGGAGACCTCTTGTCACGCAGTGTCAAAAAGCCGAGTATGACGGTACGACTGAAAGTTTGGCTTCCTGGGGCTGAAATTGAATTCATCCCCGTGGTACACACCCCCCCCCCCCAAAAAAAAGTGTGAGGTGTCGCTTTCAGAACAAAACCTGACATCCCAATCGAAGAGAAGAGCTGACGTGTTTCAACCCCCTTCAAAAGCTGGAGATGATGACATGTTATTGTGTCACGATCTCCTTTTTGGACCGAACGTCTCGGTTGACTCATCCAAGCACGATGGAGAGTATTTGGCTTTTATAACTTGAAGATGAGCTGCAGGCACTTCGGGTTAAGTGACCTTTCCCATTCAATGACTGATCCGGTTACGTCGGCTTTGTTTGAACCGAAATGACTCATTAGATTAGCGTCTTGTTTCGTGATCGCCATTAGTGGATCACTTTGAGCGCGCGCCGATGATTCCGCCGCAATTTGCAGCCTCTTGGTTTTTGGGTGACGGCGTCATTGAGCGACTTTGAGCCACGTTCCTTCCTGACCACTTGGCAACACTGGTCACTGCCATTCCAATGTCGTTTTTCATTCTTGTGACTGCAGCCGTGTATGAAAAAAAGAAATCAGCAAGTGGATACGCATATGCTATGCGTCACCAAGCGTAAGCGGAAAAAGCGGCCGAGTCAGTCACAGTTTCTATGAGAAATGTAACTTGCAAAGGTGGATGAGGCCGAGTCTCATAACGCAACACAGTTATGGACACATTTGTACTTTTGTTGTTGTTGTTGAAATTCTCAGATTTAGCCATTGGGTCCTAGTCCTTCTAGAATCCCTTGAACAAACCGACACCGGCTCAAGCGTGCGTACCTGAGCCTGTGTTCCCTTTGCAGGAACTTTGTCCCAGTCATCAGGCAATAAAGCGCCCAGGTGAGCAGCAAGCGACCATTGCAGCGCTCAGCGCTGACATCCTGACGGGGTCTCCACAGTGTAACGGACCTTGGGGCTTTTCTGTCTCCTCGGCTTGTTTGGGAGCCAGCGCTCGTATTTCCACACCGGAAAGCGTTGAACGTCGATGCGGAATACTATTCATGATCGTCCGTACGTGGGTGTGTCGATGTCTGAAGTCTTCGCACATGCCGGTAGCATAGGGGATCGTTGCTGGCCTCGAGTGCCTGAAGAGGCCGGAGTTGTGGCTGCTCCAGTGCTCCGAGGTCACGGACGTAGCCCTCAGCTGTCCGCGCAGCCTCCGCTTGAGCAGTGAGCCAGTGAGGCCTCACACAATCGCCGCGTTCGGTGAAGCAAAATGCATCATAATTCGCAGCGGGCCAAACAGTAGCTGTTTGTTTTCGTTGAGCTGTTGTCCTTGAACGCGTACAAGCGGCAAAGCGTCCTCTCATTAGGCGCATCTTTAGCTCATCGCCTACTTGCTACGGTTTGAATCAAGGGCGCCCAATAGGTCGATCGTGATCGACCGCAAGCCCGCGGACTGATCCCAAGACGATCGTGAGGGGTGTAGGGGGAAATGGAAAAAAAAAAACAAAACAAAAACAAAAAACGATTTTAACACACCCTAACCATTAGTTTCACTTTTCCCCCCAAAAATAAAATTAAAAAGCAGGTCACCTTTCATAGTTAGCATTCAACAGTCTGCAATTGCACCTTACGTTTTATATATATATATATATCTCACTGATCTATTTAATTCTGCAGAAAGAAAAGTCGTATTTCATTTGTATGATATAGATGTGGACACTTTCATGTGGGTGATAACTTTTGCATCGCGGGATTTTGCATGTATAAAGCTAAGGTTTACTTAATTACAACCTTCAGGCAATGCGAGAACCCCATTTTAAAATTCTGTGAATGTTAATATGCTAAATAATGCAGATCTCTGACTCTTCATGCATGAGACACACATCTGGCGGCTTACCATCCAAATTACAGAAAAAAAAGGGCGGGGGGTGGGGGGGGGAGAGGGCACTTCCAAAAGTAATTTTACAAAGAAAAGACAAGTAGAAAACATGTATTATTGCGTTGAGAATTATCTGCAGTTTGAAATTTGGACTGTCCAGGATGTTTACCGAACCGTGTTTCCTCCCGTAGCATCGTCAACGATGACAATGTACCGTCCGATGTTCAATTAATGTGAGAAATATACGAAACTCTGGATCATCTGTAATGATGTGGAAGGTATCACGTTATTTCATCTCTCTACCTCTCTGAAAACAGACACTGTATTTTTTTTTTTTTTTTATGGAATTCAGGGAAGGCTCCTTGTCCAGGAGGCATTTCTGGCAACGTGGGAGCAAAGAGTCAACTTGGGAGGGAGAAGGAAGAGGGTGGTCCAGGAGACATTTCTGGCAACGTGGGAGGAAAGAGTCAACTTGGGAGGGAGAAGGAAGAGGGTGGCATCCACTGGAAGGTAAGAGTGATTTTGAAATGAGCGCCCTTTTCCACTTTGCTCTGCTCTGCCCTCCCCACCTCTCGCTTCACGCACAGACTCCAACGCGCGCGGGTCCCCAGCCTCTCATCTTCTTTCGTGCAAGGGAAATCTGGCTCCTCCTCTCTTTTAATGTATCGGACCTGCTGTTCTTCCTCTTTGTTCTCCTCTTCTTCTTCTATCTGACATTTGTCAAAAAGCATTTCACACCAGCAGGTATTTCGCAGTCTTTCAAGCCAGTTTTGATCTGCGCGATTAGCCAAATTCAGTGATATCAGCAACGCCGGGCAGACCTCCTTTGTTTTTTGTTTTCTCTTGGGGCTCTTGCTTTGCGCCACAGAGGACTTCAGCAAAGCCCGGCACTTTGCGTTGCGCAAATTTTGCTGCGGCCGTTCGACGACCTCAGCGTTCAAGTAGTTTGAACCCTCGCTCCACGTGCCATTCCGGCGAGTCGGTGAATCCGCCGTCCGCTCAAGTCAACGCGGCCCCGCCGACTGCCATTCATCCGTCGCCTCCTGTTCGATAAATTAATTTGTTGCGGTGAGGTTTTACTTTCCTTCAGCCTCTGTGCACCCCCCCCCCCCCCCCCCCCCCCCCCCCGTGGTGGTCTTTCAAACCTCGCTAAGTCTGTCAAATGTTGTGGTGTGGAACCCAGTTGTCTAATGATTAAGTGGAGTGATCTCCAGCCGGCCCCAGCCTGGAAGCGCGAGGGATCAAATTTCAACCATTCAACCTGCAGTGCAGGCCTAATTAAAATGAATTTTCTCCAGGCGACCACTTTGCCCGCGGGGCAGGAATCCGCCTATAATACCAGATCCGCGTTTAAGGTATTGCATTAAATTTATTGCGGGGAGACGCCGGGAGAACATTGTGGTTCATAGACCCGCTGCCTTCCCCCCCTCCACCCTCCCTCGCTTACTCTCCGCCTTCTTTCCACCCTTTTTTCTTCTCTTTTTTTTATTGTGATCATCACTCTGGAATCCAAAGCTTTCTTTGGCCAAGATTGCCCCGTGAAAAACCAACGTCGCTGTTATTGGGCTCGGCTCATTTCGCTCTCGCTGGGTTTTTGGGCTCCTCTCGGGAGGCGGAGGAGAGGCGCAGGTTGAAAAGCGGCAAACGGAGAGAGGTTGCAACCGCGGCGCTCATTAGCATACATCAGGATGAGTATTTCACAACTTCAAGCAGAAAGGCGCTAAGCCCACCCAAGGGCAACGCGGGGCTGACAGCGCCGGGGAAGCAAGCCGTTAACATGTTGGCGGCTTAACCAATAATATCTGCTCCCAAGTACCTTGGTGAAATATTTCAAGCCCCGCTTCCTAACTCCATTTGACTGTGTTTATGACGATGACAGTAAACGACTTGTATGCGGGGGAGGGCGTTGGCAGAGGGGAAGTGTCGCTTCTCGGATATCATATATTTAACGCCACCGTCACCGTGCGCGCCTTTTCCCAAACAACAAACTCCGCTTGAATGATGGCGTGCCGCATGCCATTTCTCCATCGCTCTCTTCTCGTGTCAATCGTGCGGCGTTTCCGACGCTCCGAAAGCGTCACGCGCGCCGTCACTGTCAAGCCGCCTGCACCCCCCCCCCCCCTACTCCCCCCCCCGCCCCGGAGATAAATTCGGAGGCCCGCTTCCTGCTTTGCTTACAAATGACGTCTGCGTGTGCTCTCCTCGATTGCTGCTCCTCACAGAAGAAGCCAATCAAGAAGACAAATAGCCGCCGCCCCAGCGTGAGCGGCGGCGGCGTCGGCGGCGGCGCAGGCAAGCGCGAGACGCAGCCTTCAGTGCACAACCTCGACATGGAGGAGCTGGAGGAGTACACCTTCTCCCTGCTGTAAGTCTCATTCTGACGTAGCAAATCCACCCAATGGACAAACGCATTGGAACACAATTAATCGGGTGTGGGGGGGGGGGGCTGTCTCTCGCACTCTCTCTCTCTCTCTCTCTCTGATGACTCGGCACCAGACGCTCAATTCAAGTTTTTCCGCAGCATGCGTTTGCTTCCATTTCTACCTGCTGTTGCTGTAATGAGCAGGTGTCCTGATTCAGTCGAAGCGCGTTACAAAGTACTTGGACATCACCAATCGGTATGTTCTAAAATGGCCAGGATGAACATTTATAGATGTAAAAACAGGAACATGTCATCCGGTTTACACATGTTAATTACAATGATGTGTGTATGAAGAAAAGTGATTTGATCCGACGCGAAACAAACAACCGTAGCGTTCCGACTTCCATGCGGCATCCAAAAGAAGCTGAAAGCAAAAAGTCCCATTTCAACAACAAAGTACAGTACATTCAGCGTTTTGTTGTTCCACTAAATTAAGGGGAGGCGGTCTCGTACCGTAGGGCGAGTGGGAGCCACTCAATGACGCTCTCTGGGGAATTGAAAATCGTAAACTTGTGCGTGTTAGTCATGAGTCGTATTTCAACAAGATCAGAGACGACACGCAAATACGATCAAATGACTTTCTCGCTTCTTCATTTCGCTGTTGCGTATTTATTTATTTCTTTCTCAATCCGTCCGTCTGTGTATTTCTTTATTTATTTGTAAGACCTGTGAGCAGTTGCGGAGTTGTGCAAAAGCCATTTCTTTCCCGCCGTTCTTGATGAGCACTGCACCGCGATGACGGCCCGGCTTCAAGTGTTGCTATTGATTTTATCTTGACAGGAGAACGCGTTAGCCCATCTTTGAGCTTGCACCGCGATGACGGCCCGGCTTCCAAGTGTTGGTATTGATTCCATCTTGACAGGAGAACGCGTTAGCCCATCTTGGAGCTAAAGGCTCTTTTATGACCTCACCTCATCAGAACATTAGAAAGACACCGCGCTGCTGTTGGCTTTCACAGGGATATTACAACAACAACAAAAAAAAAAAAAAACCCTCAAGAAAAACAAAAGACGGTGCAAGCTCAAAGTCATTGCCGCACGCATCCCTCCCGCTGTGATGTTTGACTTTGCCAAGGCTTCTCCACATTACCTGAGGACTAGAAGAGAAGCGAGAGGCGGGGACTGTTTATTTCTGGGCTTTTTTTGGTCATCTTTGTCGCATGATAATGATGTGATGTAACTTATGGATCGTTTCTCTGATCCCACTGATGCATCTGCTTGCATGAGCATCCGGTGTGCACCTGTGCTTGCTTGCGCGAGCGGCGTGGCTGAGGGATATGACTGCCATCTATTGAGCCATACGAGAGTGAGCTCATGAAGATTTGGAGAGGGTGTCCTAATATTCATGCATGATTCTGCAAACATTTCCAAACTTTGGATTTGATTGGAGATATTCGGATGTGTCATGCAATGCACTCTTTTTTTTTTTAAGGGAAAAAAAAAAAAAGCAAAAACCCAACGAGACGTATGGCTTTGTCTAAAAAAGGCTCGACGGCATTGGACGCGCTACAACTAAAACAAACACGGAGCGCATACTTGTGATATTTTTTGGCCGCAGGTGCAACTTCAACGTCCGTAACAACTGCGTCGGCCGTCTGTCAAGCGTATGACAAGTGACAGGTTGTAGGAATTAATCAGGCAGAGATGGCAGTTGCGTTGACGTGAAATGAACTCCTCCTCTTCCTCGCCTATTTGGACGAGATGAACTCAATGAAAACAAACAAACCAAAAAAAAAATAAAAGTTAACTTGTGCCCCACGAGGCTCAATAATGCACAATTGGAAACGTCTCTGGAGAATTCCAGGTCATTAGCGGAGAAATGAATGGAACAAAGAGCACCCGTGATGATTTGCCTTTCTTTGCGCGCGGCCATCCGACATTCCGGCGACACGTTTGAACATGCGCGGAAACTCATTTGGTGACCTTGCAGCTCTTCACGTTAATCCTCCGATGCGCAGATGTTGCAGTTTAATGTCGATTGTTTGAGAAAGGTTGATGACTGTTGATGACGCTTCCGTATCATAATTTGATCAAGCAGAATTGAGTCATTCTTAATTTGACCCTCCTCCCACTTCGTAATTCAGATTCGGAAAACGTTATCCCTGTGGAGCAATTAAGGAGCTAATGTACCGATAACATCGCTTCGCTATTGCAACATTAAAAATTCTCGACATATATTTCCAGGAAACAACATAAAAATAAAATTGCCTTAAATCAGTAAGATGTTTTGTTTTTTCATTATGCATAACCATTAGAAATAATCATTCGCGCCTTTATAAAAACATTTCTTGGATTTCTTCTAAGACTGGTTGCAGGTGAGAACCTGTTTTAATCAAAGTAATTCTCACGTCGCGTTTAGATCTAATTAGTCCAATTATCAAGTTTCTAATTACATTGAAATATAGCCCCTAATTCTCATAGCAATTACACTGGATGTATGTCTTACCCTGATGATGGAGAGAGAGAGAGAGACGTTTTCTTGGTTGCACTGAAACCCATTTAGTCACACAAACATGTAAACTTCGACTTTGGCAGTATTGCAACACACTGTGATGATTGCAACACACACACGCACACACACACAAACACACAACACACGCATCATGTTCCTCCCCCCCCCCCATGGAGTCAAAAGGAACACGTTGACCTAATTTCCCCAAGTTAGCTCGCCTCGTTGGGGACCAGCGTTCCTCTTCAGACGTTTCCCCCCACCGAGCCAGTTCGGAGGCTCCATCTCGGTTCCTCGCCATCTGTTTTTGTGCTCACGTGTAAGTTTAGTCGAAAAAGGGTCATGTCGTCACTTCAGGAATCCATCTGGTGCGACTCTGTGTAAAAATGCGTCTCCAAGAAACATGATGGGGGGGGGGGGTCACGCCTAAAAATGAAACAACGGCTAGCCGCAGCCTGTCAGCCCTGTGCAGGCTGCAACTTTACATTGCAAGGTGGCGCCGGGGTCAATCAATTCTGATGTAATCCCGCTCGCAGAGGTGGGCGGATGGCAGTGCTCGTCACCTCCGGGTCGCTTTCCCGCGCCCGAGGGGGAGAAATGTTTGCGCGCATGAGAGGAGGACGGCAGAGGAGGCCCCCCCCCCCCGTGGCTACCACCGGCCGGGCACACATGTCAGGGATTTCGGTGATCCAGACGTGCTCCGGTGCCGGCCGCTTGGAAGCAAAGCGCTTCATGTCTCCCAGTGGGCCACATCCATCTATTCCCGCAATCATCCTTCTTCCGTGTTTACGGAAATGGGAGCTGTCAGCTTCTCGACAGGCTAAATTTGCCAAATGATTGGTTAATCTACTGTGACGTGGCTGTCAGTCAGGGCTGAGTGTGATCCCATTGGTGCTCTGGGTCGAGTAGGAATGGTTCGCAGGAGAGGGGAGGGGATGAGAGCGGGGCTTCATCCAAGAGGGCGCGTGACAAGAACCATACACGCGAGCGCATGAGTGATCGCATGAGGCTTGCTTTCTTTGGATGTGTGTTTGGGCCAAAACTGACACTCTCGGGTGCTTTTCCCCCTTTATCGACGCCATCTGATCTCACTCCTTGACAAATAATTCAAGTCAACTGACAACTGCTTTCGCAGAGTTCAAATGGAGCCCGCTGTCCCTTTCTGCTCATGTTATAAAAGTGAGCAGCCAACGATCAGTCAAACAAGGATTCCGAATGAATTGTTGCTTCTGATGATGCGCTCCTCCTTTCCCCGTCAGCTACAATTGTGATCGTTGACCAATGCGTCGTTCTATTATTTTAATTACCCACTGATATAGAGCGGCAGAGTCGCCATTCTGTTATTCTCCTTTAGCAGCCTCCTAAATCCCTGCCACTGAGCTACGATTCGGTCAAGGAAATTCATTTGTGTCTGCGCTCGCCTTCCGTGGGCCGTGCTAAGAAACAAAGCCTGTAAAGCGCCACCGCGGTAACTGTTTGAGGAGCGGATAAAAGGGGGAATAGATCCAACGTCTGACACGTCTCTTTACAATATCAAGATAAGTGTTCTTCAATCCAACTTGTTTCAATGCACATGAGCGTAAATGACAACAGCAACGATTTGGATTGATGGCCCCGTGCACTAGTTTCCACACGCCGCTTCACGGCACCCTGTGGCATACTGTCGAAGGCCCAGCTCATTTGCCGGCCGGGAACCAACCAAGGATATTTCGTTTTTTGCACTGTTGCAAGAGGTCCTTTTTCTGTTCTTCATCTCAATTTCGTATGCAAAGAGCCATGCTTGAATTGTTCAAATGTGCCATTCGGTTATTCAGCATGCGCCCCAAAAACGGCCAGTGTGTCAAGCAGTACCGGGAAAGTAAACGGCTGCTGATTATCGGCTACCGACAGAAATTGACCTGAGTGGAGCGCACTCTGTCTCCAGCAGCATACCAGGATAACGAAATGTTTGCTTCATCACGACTCAATGTTAAGCTTTTGGCTTACCTTAACCGGAATCGATATTTTCAGGAGCTGAGACACACACACACACACACACACACACACACACACACACACACACACACACACACACACACACATATATATATATATATATATATATATATATATATGAAGTGAAGGTGCGTCCTTAATTATCGCCTAAAAGGCTGGCGGTGTCAGCAAGAAGACAAATGCCATCAAATTCCCAGAGAAATTCATAATCAAGGGGATGAGATGTAAACAAAGATAAGGTATCGCCCCGTCCTCTCTCTTTCTCTCTCTCTCTCTCTCTCTCTCTCTCTCTCTCTCTCTCTTTCTCTCTCTCTCTCTCTCTCTCTTTCTCTCTCCCTCTCTCTCTCTCTCCCGCTTTGACACCTCAGATAATCACACTTCCATAATCAGTATGGCAGTCATGCATGTAGGCCACGAAGAGAACAATCACATTATCTGTCAATCTTCTAAGTCTATTTTCACACTCTCAATGTTTGCCTTCTCAATTTCCCCCGACAGCAAGCCATTCCTCAGCGACGTGTGAAAAGATGGGAGGTTTGAGCGCATTCATAAACAATGCCAGTGGCCCAAATAGGAAAGTGACAGGAAATAACTTAATCCTCAAAATGAAAGGATAAGTCCGATACTTTTAAGTGGCCCTCGACTGGAGGCTTTCAACCTGCGGTGCGATTCTGAGGGTTACCTTCGGTGGTTCAGCCCTGCAGACTTGCGACCGTTAAATCTGCGATTCAAAATGGAGCATCCCACTGTAATCCCTCTCCTAACCCGCCTCGCGCCGCCCGTTCTCATTACCCAAGCGTCTTGAAAAAGTACCGCTCGCTTGTACTGGCTTTTCCGTTTCTATTTTTTTATTTTTTTCAAAGCAAAGCCGACCGAGAGATAGCTCTTGCGCAAACGATTGTCCCGTAATTTGCATACCTCACACAGTCTCTTCGGGAAAAAAAAAAAGGATGAGTCGGTTTTTGCAAAATAGGAACACATACGTCTCCAAAGCTCGATATTTAGGAAACAGCTTCTGATCCCCCCCGATTTCACTCAACCCGCGGGTGTGTCCAAACTACGGCCCGAGGGCCATTTGCGGCCGGCCAACCATTTTTCAGTGCCCCACGGCATATACTAAAAATGGTAATTGACACGGCCCAGAAGGCTAGTTTAAAAAAAAAAAAAAAAGATGGTGGAGGTGGGCAGAGTGAGAAAGTAGGGCGTCGGAAAAACATTTTCTTTAAAACAATAAAGACAAAGACATCAATTATTTCCTTCGCATTCTGCTACTGCTCCGGGCCAATCTAGTGAGATAGAGGGCCGCTGGTCACCCTAAAATCTTGAAAAACAATTTGCCTTCTCACCTTGGACAGAAAGCTGCTGTGTTAGCATTTTCCAAAGTAAGGAGAAAATGTTTGTGATCTCCCATGGCTCGCTTGACTGATTTTTGCGGGTTGAATGAATTGAAGTGGAAGAATAGCGGCCCTTGCTTCCTCGCACGTGTTCGAATGCGGCCCTCGGCCGAAGAACTTTGGACGCCCCTGCTTGGAAGGCCAATTAAAATGTAGCAATGCGTGCCAACGCGTTGCTGTTGAAACGATCCGTTTCAAGTCTTTCAAGCGGCACGCTGTAATTTTAGAAGATGAAAACCTTGACTTTAATACAGCAGTGAAAACAGATTGCACATCATGTTTGCTTTGGAAGAGGCGCAAGGACACCACTCAAGTGTCTAAAAATATGCATCTTTCATGCATCATCAATATCTTCATCATACGAGAGGATGGGCGTCAGGTCGAGTTTGCCGCTTTCATTTCATGCCACTTGACAGGGGAGCATCTTGCCTGTGTTTACAGCACACTGATTTTTTTTCTATTTTTGGGGGGGGGGGGTCCACTTTCCAATTCCACTTCAAATACAAAGAGAAAACCCCACATTTGGCCCATTCATTCAAAAAGCTTTGAAGAGAATAAAAGCCCGAATCATTCTGGTGAGGCACAGACATCGCATTTACATATATATTTATACATCATGTAATTGGTTTTTCGCTATGGAAATTATGTATATTTTCATTGCCTTGTCTCTTTGGTAGTGAACAGACACACATCAACACAACACTGCGAATTCCCAAGAAACTGGAGGAAATTGGGAAATACGGGCCAATGCCGCACACGTCATTTCACTGCAGATGCAGGATTTTTTTTTTTTAAAAAAGTCAAATGCTCCCATTAAAAGAAAGACACTGGCAGAAGAAAGACATTTATTGGCAGTTGAATTCACAACTCAACTCAAGTGTATTTCTCGAGCACTTGAAAACAACCACCGCTGTATTTAAAAAGTCCCGGATGTGGAGCAACAAGAATTCATCCAACCAAAGCACAAAAACTGTCCAACTAAAAATCAAGTCTCGTGCTCGAGTTCCAAGCCAAAGACGAAAATTTAGTTTGAAGACGCGTTTGAAAGAAGGCCAGCGAGCAGGCTTGCCCAACGTTCATTCCAAAGAGAGGAAAAAGGAAAAGGCTCCATCCGCTCCGAGCCTCCCCTCAGTTCACGGTTCCTCTAATAGTGTCTGGTCCGCAGACTTGAGGTGCATAGTGGCAGAGGAGCTCCAAGAGGTCAGGTCATTTGAAAACAAAGTATAGGATCTTCAAAAGAGGGAGCCAGTGAAGTGATGCCAGAGTCGGAGTGATGTGCGTAGCAGTCAAGCGGCAGCATTCAGGACCCACTGGAGATGTTTGATGGAGGATTGGCTGACTCCAAAGTCAAGTGCATTCCAGTGATCCAGCAGGGATGTGACGAAGGCGTGAAAGGAGAGGCTTGATTGACGAATGGACGGTTTCCCAGTGAGCTCAAGTCAGCTGGGATAGGCTGAAGCTCCTGCAATGCGCCTGAGCAGGATAAGCCGTATAGACACGGCGAAGCAGTCACCAAACACTGCATTCAACTATGCCGAATTGACTCATAGGATCATTCGAATTGACCCATAGCCTCGTGGCGCGTTTGTGTGACTGCTCGTCTGTCTCTTGAAGTGCCTCGTGCTTGATTGAGGACCAGTCAAGGGTGGCGTCTGCCTTTTGCCGACAGTCACCCGGGTGAGGGGGGGTCTGCCTGGCCCTGAACTGGATGAGCGGCGGGAAAAATGGATGCATGATGGATTAGCTGAGCTCGATGGATGCAGCGTATAGATCACATTTGCATCAATCTACTCTCATGCCATTTATAGCCACAGTCACTTTTTCCATGCCGCACTTCATCTCCTCTCACCAGTGGCCAACGTTGATGACAGATGTTTGCTTGTTATGGTTTCAGGAAAGCTATTAATATTTATTAGCCCAAAATTGCTGGCTAAGTGTTTTCTCAAAGAATCCCTCTGCCCACGTGTGCATCCGGCGAGGCGCTTGAGAAACTTGAAACAATTCAACACCTCAGAGAAAATGCCAGCCACACAAAAAGTGTGTTTTGTTGTACGTGAGCAACTTTTTTCTTTTATTCTTTTTTTTTTTTTTTTGCAATGATACAACCTGGGAAGAAAATTCCAAGGCGTTTCGTGGAGTAATAAATCTTGATTGAGCCAAGGCACGTTTACATGGAAAAAAAAAAAAATCGAAGGGCATACAGTAACACCATAAAAAGTATGCGTATTGAAAAAATGATGATGTCGTCACAGAGTGTGAAATTGGGCCCGTTTAATTGAGCACAAAGCCGATGTCGGCGCGGGAAGCCGTGACGTATTCTGTTGCATGGATGACGACAGGTGTGCTCGATCTTCTGCCTGCTAATGATGTACATGCCGCATGTCGTCGTTTCGCACTTGGTAAACTGTCGCTGGCGTCGATTCAGTACATGAACAAAAACGTGCAGTGTTTGTAATCAATCAATGATCATTCTCAGACAAATTGCATGCGACCGGATCATTTCCCGCGGCAGCCCTGCTAATCTCTCACGGCGCAGTAGTGTGCCATAGCACTCTGGTTGGCCATCACTGCATTCATGTCATGTGAGATGCAACTCTGGACTCATTTCTTGGGTGCTGAGGTTGGCAACAATTGATTTGGGTTTTTTATTTTTTTTTGTCCTTAGGCACTCTCCCATTTTCCCTAGATAGACACTACAAAGTGAATTCCAGACGTGCTCTGGGACACCGTGATGAGACACTGGGATATCCACAGGCCAAAGCCTAAAGTCTCACTCTGGTGCGAACCTTCGTTGGGCTACTTTGAGCCCAGTCGAATGAATATTGGCTATGATCCGGGGGTCCACCGTGGCTCCTACGTTGCAAACATGTGATGCCGCCATAAGTGGCGCGCCTCAGCTCGAGTTGGTCGTGCCAAACAAATGCACTCGCGCGCTCTGACATATTGCGAGTTTGCGTCTGCGGCTTCTCCATCTGTGCCCTCTCTATGAAAGGGAATAGTTGAGCAGAGCAACAAAGGCCAGCGCAAAGGGGGCAGAAGTGCCGAGGGAAGCGAAGCACTGCTGGGAGGGATTGCTATCTGCTCGCGTGACCGTACAGTCACGCGCCGCAAAGCGAGCACACGTCGGCTGCACCTTGACGCGCGCACAAGACTCTCTTCAAATGAAAAGGAACGCAGATCGTTTCGTATCGCTTTGGTCGCAGGACAACCGGATTCATTGTGGATGTGCACACGTAACGTCACCGTCAAAAGACCACTGGCGAAACACATCACTGGGATTGTTTATACCGTTTCTCCAAATCAAATCCAAATCAACCACAGCCGTAGCCACTGGCGTTGTATTACCTTCCACAATCTTCAATCGTTTCCCGTATACACGGGGTCTTCAGTTTAGCGAGTTCTGTTCCTTAGGCGACAGTTAGTCTATCACTTACACAATCATCTTTAATGGCCAAGTATGTAGAACACACAAGGAATATTTCTCCGGTAGAACACGCTGCACTCGTATCGTCATAAACAAGGACATGACAATAGATAGATAGATAGATAGGTATGGATGTATCCAGACTGTATATCTGTCACCTATGGTTCATCACTGTTGTGAAATGCATAAATGTTACCGTGGGTTGTCTCAAAGCAGGCCTCTACAGAACTCGGTCCGTTCTGCTCAGCTGTTCAAGCCAGCCCACTTGGTCCTTCGCATACTGCCATCCGAGCTGGGCCTTGCGTTGCTGCGGCAACAGCTCCACCACCACCACCACCACCACCACCGCCACCAACAACAACCATGTGGTTGCCGGCGGGTCTGCGCTTTGCAGCTCAGCCTCATTATGCTGCTGCTGGCTTTGATGTGGTTTGTGAGGCTCTACCTGCATTACTGCAGCCAGTGGCTCTACCTCCAGGCCATTGCAGTTCCTGTCAACAAGTGAGTTCAGTTCCTTTGATACACACACACACACACACACACACACACACACACACACACACACACACACACACACACACATACATATACATAGCTATCAGAATGGGAGGGGCGACTATTGATATGCATGCACGCGCAGACAACAGCAAATGTACAGCTGCTTTTGTGCCACATTCTTCTGTATCCCGTTGAAGCAACATTTTGGCAAACCAGGCCCACAGTGGATGCGTCTGAAAATGCTGCCCTCTCGTTTCTGTGTGTCAAACGACGACACCTCTTTCATGAAACGATGACGCAATTGTCCCCCGTTCTCGTGCGACCGCGCGCCGACAATACCGACCTTGACCATAACGGAGGATTCACATGTCGGATGTTCTTTACCTTGACTTGATCTGGGCTCATCGGTCCTCACCAGGGACGCGCTGGCACCAAAATCTGACCCGGGAATGAAAAATGTCGAACTTCTGACTCCATTTGAACACGTATCTGTCTCAACATGAACGACGGCTCACTGTGGAATCGTGGGAACTTCACCACACGCCTTTAAAACCATAGTCGGCGATGTTATTTGGAAGGAAATGTTCGACCTGATTGGGAATTTAAAAAAAAAAACAATATAGGAGGGACATGAGAGGACATGTTGATGAGTTAGCAAAATCCGCTGTAGGAGCAAGTACAAAACCTGGATGAGGGAATGAAAAAAAATCAGTCATTCATCAGTCATCCTTCAAAATGTGAAATCTGAAAATAGAACCGTATCATCAATGCTGATTTGTCCAAACTCGTGTTTGCGATGTTGTGGGATTTATTATTTTTTTTTTTCAACAGCAGTTGAGTCGATGGAATTATTCTGGTTGTGGAAGACAGTCGCGTCGAGCTGGGCAAAGAAAGCAAAGACCACAATTTTCAAGGGCTGGACTCGAACAGCCAGACCATAAGAAAGTTAGAATCCGCATTGGTAGTTTTGCTCCGCATGAAACTCCAATGGACCTCTTCATTGAGATTAATGAACAGAATCCCCAATAGGCAGAATCAGGTGGGACTTAATGAGCATAAAGCCGACCTGTCCTGTGTTGCCACTGCTTTGCCGTCTCCAGACTGATGGGAAGATTAAGGAGCTCATGAGGCTTGCTTGTAAATGGGGAGTCGATCTGGCGTACTCTCTTGGAAATGTAAAAAGAAAAAAAAAAAAAACAAGTTTTGTAGCATGAGATGCTTTTTCTCACCTCCTCTTTCTTCATGTTAGCTTTATTCAGGTGCAATATCATGAAGGCGCTGCAAAGCAATCCAGCAGATGATCTTAATGACGACCGTCATCAAATACAATTCGAAATGATCGCAAATAATCTGAGATTGTGTGAATAGCTCGTAAGTGTCTTGACATTGGCGCAACATCCTAAATCTGCCACATGCATATTGACGCATGCACATAAATCATCCCCACCCCCAACCCCCTCCCCCCTCCTCTCACCAGATTCCGATTCCACGCTTACACGGTGGACCTCGTGTACCAGAGTTCTTTGCTTCACACCCGCGAGGAGCTGGTCATGGTGGCGGTGGGTCCCCTGACCTTGAACGCAGTCACGTTCCTGCTGGTTCTGATCAGATGTGGCTGTCAACAGATATTTGGCTCACTCCCTTCCTTCACGTCAAAGTTGATCATGGCTCAGGGAGTGTGGACAGTCCTGCACCCCCTGGCAGTCCTTGCAGTGGACGCCGTCCTCGGGGTAAGTCACTTAAAAATAACTTGGACACTTGTGCACTTTAAATAGGAGTTCACTTTATCTTAGCAAAGTGACTTTAGATTACAGGGGGGGAAAAAAAATAGCAAGAGTTGAGGATGTGGAAAATAAACCGTGTATGTGTGTGTGTGTTTATCATGCGCAGGGATTATGTTCAAACCATAATAATTGCAGATTAATTGTATGTTAAATTGAAACCATTGAACAAATGATTTTTGGTTGAGTTCAAAATCATCCAGTCATCCTCATTCCTTCCGTCTGGGCGAAGAATCGATCTTGCCGTGTTGATGTTTGACACCTCCCAATCAAATGAGATCCAATATGACTATCTATCCATCGATGTAACCTCACATTTGTCATGGCAGCGTCTCTCCTACGACCCGGACAGACCGGTGGGGGACGCCGCCAAGCTATTCTGGCACTTCCAAAGAGTCGATCGGTCGGGTGCAGCCGGGGTGGCCATCACCGTCTTCCTTTATGCAGTCATCTTTCTCTTGTCGCTCACCATCCTTGGCGTTTATCTGCTCAGGTAAGGCTCACAGCTCCGGATGAATACAGTATACGCCTGCTCATACGGGAGCTTCATGGCAATCCGACAATGAAGACGAATACCTTCCTTTGCAACACTCTGGCCTGGTTCTCACCAGCAGACTCGAGTTCAACATCGATTCAGAAAGAACTCTTTCTTCCTCCTTTGCAGCCATGTGCGCCGGTCCTAACTCCTAAAAGCTCGGGAAAAAAAAAAAAAAATACCAACAACAACAACAGCAAAATGGAACTAATCTTGATCTGATGCCTTTTGATTTCACAGTCGACTGGAATTACTTCTGCAGGTTTGCATGGACCGCACAAATCAGCACTTTGAGTTGACACAAACGCAACGGCAGATACACACACACACGCACACACACGTGCGCGCACCACACAGCTGCCTTTTCATAGCCACCATTGAAAGCGTTTCTAATGCAAAAGTTCCAACGTGTCTTGATCTAGCGTGAACATGGAACCCTCTGACGTGATCCTATTAGGCTGAATGCTTTGCACGGCTGGTATCACTGAAGCCTTTGTGCATTTCGAAACGGACCAGATATATACTGCGTGAATGGATATGATGAGGACTCATCTGACAGCATCTGTATGTTCCGGTCATGTCTTCGAGATGGAGGTCACCCGGGCTGAATCATTGCGCTTGTCAGAAGCTTCTTGGATAAAAACCAAAACCAAACCAAAACCAAAACAGGCAGACTCTTGCATCATACTTGGAAAAACTTAAGTGGCTTAACTATGTCCGAAAAAAAAAAAAGACATCTAGTTTGTCAGAGCGTACAAGTGGAACAGGTGGCTTCACTGAGTAATGTAGCCCCTTGTTCATTCAAGTGTACCAGGCCAAATCCGATTCACTTCCCAAAACTTTGTGTCCCGAGAGACTGCGATTCCCAGGAAGTGGAAGGTCTCGACGGTTGACACAGGGCCGTCGGATCCCTCAAGTCCACGATCATCTCCGCGCTTGCGTTGGCCGCTCCAGAGCGCCGGCTGCTCCTCTTCTTGTCGGTACGCGGACCGTCCGCCGTCTGTGATGAGGCCGCTGACTAATGACACGCGCGCGCACTCGCAGCCTTTGCGGCACCAAAGAAGTCAACGTGGTTTGAAAAGATGATGAAAAGATCCGGACAATTCATTTGCGAGAGATGGCACGGATGAATGAGGAGCCGCGTTCGAGTGTGGAACGAAACTAGACGGATGCCGTGGTTGTGTGCGAGGTCGGGGTACTCCAAACATGCGCATCCCAAGAGGGGCAGGGGATGGATGATGCTGGCTTCAAAGCTTTGCACCGCTTTCATGCATAAATCCTCGCCTCCTTGATGTCGGTTTTATTTGAGAGCTGATTACCCTCTGACAGACTACAATCTCTGCGGAAGGGCGGCAAGGTCGGCTTGTTTTGATGGTCAGCCAATGCGCTATTTTTTTTTTTTTTTTTGTCTTCCAGACATGGCGATTCCTTTTCAAGGCCGGCTGGCTGCATCCATATGTGGCTCAAAGAAATCTTTGCGCTTTTTTGTGATAAGCATCTCTGGATCAATATGCTGTCTGCTTTGGTCCCGAGTCTTTCCTTGTGACTCAGGCCGGGCTCTCCAAACTCATCTGCAACCGGCAATCGGGCAGGATTGGACTCCCACACACGACCAGACGCATCTCGCGCACAGACCAGCATCGCACACGCACACACACACACACACACACACACACACACACACACACACACACACAGACACTGACAATGCCGGAGTCGGTGTGAGAACAAAGTGCTTCCTACTCCAAGGGCAACATATTTGATTCCATTTGCACTTGCAATTTTTTTCAGCCATTCTGATCTATATTTGTCTAGATATTTTTTTTTTTCTCCCATTGATTTCTAAAAAGAGCCATTGTGACAGGCAATCCAGCCGCGCATGTGGAGAATATTCGCAGCTTTGCTCGGGTATTTGACCCCAACAGAGATTCCGGCTCCCGTTTCCACTCCCGCCTTTTTTTTTTGAACTCCTTTTCCGACTCCCCACCCTCTAGATTTCACAACAATGGCCGCATGCTGGACATCTTCCAGAGGCTCACCGCCAAGGAGGGAACTTACTTCCTACCTCGGGACTTGGAGCTGTCCAATCAGGAGCTGAGCTACATCGTCAAGAAGGCGGAGCAATGGAGGGGCTTTCACGGCGAGAGGCGCAAGGTATGTGTGTATGCAGCCGGCACCCAAATTCAACTCAAGCCCAAAACGACGTCGAGAATTGACTTCTTCAATATCATTCCGATGTTCTTTAGTTACATTTCAGAAAACGGTGAACTTATCTCGGAGGTATTTAGCTTCATTGTAATTAGCGCGGGATAATTACCAAAACAGAAAGCCAGCGAGGAAGCGGACTGATTGGTCTGCCACATTTTCCCAAAATGCAACTGCTAAATTAACATGCATTTATCGGCCATCAAACTGCAGGCCCCTCTTTCGTTGAGTGTGTTGGATTTGGAGTGGCATACGTCGCTCCGTGTTTGCCATTTTCATGAACTCCCGTTTGCTCCTTGCTCGCTCAAGTTATATGCCGACCAAAAATGGCAATCTAGCCTTTTTTTGCTTTATTTTGACTTGTAGGGGATTCAAAATGTAATGACTTGTTAGCTCCATGTTTTTTTTGTTAAAGTATTATAATTGAACCTTGACACTATCAATACCGATTTACTGACAATTGGGACATGAAATGCTCAAAACAAAATCAATCCATCAATCAAAGCTTCAACTACTGGTTTGACTTAACAGATAGCACGCGCGTCACTTAATTGGCGCTCATTACACTTTGCGCCGCGGTGTTATTTTTCATCCAAATAAGACAGGTTGATGTGTCATTATTTTATAATTAGTGAGAGCGAGTCTCCATCCAGGGTCACTTTGCTAGCTCGAGCCTAATTTGCCCGTGTGCAATTCCTTGTGTCATTTCCCCTCATTAACTATTGATCACATCAAGGGGGAAAAATATATAGATATATCAACGTGAAAATTCATGAAGGCGCAAGCAAAGGAGCAGCCCGACAAGAGCTGAAACTAATATTTTGCAACTCTAATGATTTTTTTTGCATCCCTAATGAGATCGAATAAGGTTGATATGATTAGGTCAGGATGTAGTGTTTTTCATTAAAAATACATTTCCGAAACTGTATTCCAAATGTGCCCCTGCAATGAAATAATGAATCCGGTGCATTTCTTATTACCAAGCCAATTAATATCAGAGACAAGGGCGAAATTTTAATAAGAGTAGGCCACGAGGCCTTCATTAGCTGGCTGGGAGAAAGGAGGGATGAGGGAAAGGGAAAACACGGAACTCTGTGTCTACTTTACTCTTTGTTTTTTTTTTTAATATACCAAGCCATGCAACAATGTAGCCGAAAAATGATATTCTTGGACCAATCAAATCTGGGCCAAGAAGAGACCGCGATCTGTTTTGGCTTTTGCATGACAGTCATCCAGCCGGGATGTGACGAAGGCGCCGATGACTGTTGCAAAGTGCACTTGAGAAAGGAGATTCCCGAGACTTTTGCCGGCTGGATGGAACAAATACATTGGGAGAGCCGTCTGTGTCGTAGTCGCCTCCCCCCACATTCCCTGTAGATAGAAGAGAGGTGTCCAACTCTGAAATACTTCACCAGGTATCGAAAACTGCTTTGTCGGAGCCATGGCGATGGCAGTGACAGAGTGCGGCAGAGGCTTAGTCGCTGCAAACCTCGTTTGCTGCTAATTCATCCAAGTGCAAAGTTTCCCACTGGTGGTGACATTGGGATAATTGAAGGAGAGGAGAGGACAGATTCAATAGAAAGCAGAAAAGGCTAAGAAGACGTCTGTCGGCCGGCCCCGGAGATGTTTTCCCAACCTGATTGCATCAACGCTCGCGCTCCTTCGTGTCGTTTGTCTTCGTGCGTCGAGGTAATAGATGACTGGCAGGCAATTGGGGGAACACCCAAGGTGCTTCGCAACGTTGGCGCGGTCGGTAGGACGAAAAAAAGCAAGATGCCATTCTATTATCTTGAATAGGTTACGTCATTCAGAACCTTTGACCAAAAATGCACACAAAGCAGACACCGAAGAACACAGTGCAGAGGTGCAGGGTTGGATTCCTGTGTGGAGTTTGCATTATTCTCCCCGTGCCCGTGTGGCTTTTCGCCGGGTACTTCGCTTTCCTCCCAGTCCTAAGGTGGACCCGAGCGCGACATGTTTGGAGCTGTTCCTAATATTTTGCCCCTCATGCCAAAAGAAAATGGAACAAAATATTGGGATGACGTTGCGCCGTTCGACACACGTTAACCTCTCGCTAAGATTGCTTTGAGCATTATTTCTCAAGGTGGATTCCTTTCTCCTTGTATCGGACCGAGCAGGTGTAGCGAACCAAATGCCATCCTTGGATCTGTCTTATCTGTGGTCGGTGCCCAATGAATAGAGTTCCAAGCCAGCTGAGATGCAAAAGTAACCGAGGGGGAAGCTGCGAGGGGGAAGTCAGGCAAACGGATAGGGCGGCTGGCCGTGACGGAACACGCAGGAAACGCTGTCGCTTGACAATAGAGTTCCTATTTCAGGGGCTGAAATAGGAACCCACAACAGCAGCAAACGGGGCGCCAGGCCACCCGGAACACGCCGAGCGCGAAGGTGGCGCGGGGTCAAGGTTTGGCCGACGTGCGCAATGAGAGGGCGTCGGCGCGGGGACGGCGGCTCTCTTCGCTCCATGCGATTGTTCACGCGCTTGACTGCGTGTGCAGAAATCCAACGCGGGGTTCATCCGAATCCTTCGGTTTTTGTCGAAGGACACTCGTACACTGGGAGTCAGATGCTTTTTGCACGCCTGCATGTGCATGTCACATTAAAGTGGCTTCTTCTGCTATTTTTTTTTTTTTTTTTTTTTTTGCGAGCGGACAGCGCTTTGGGCCCCGATGGCCCGAGGCAACAACAAGGCAGGCGAGGGCAGGAAGCGCAGCATCCGCACAGTCTGGGCCCGAAAGAGCCCCATATGAGAAATGACTGCAAATGCTACACGGCCGCCTTCCTGAAAAGGTCACAGACTTCGCTGAGCGCTAACGTGTAAAAACAGCGGTCAACTCAAACTAAAGGGCCAAGATAAAGATGAAACAACAGTCTTGGACAAGTCACACGTGTCATGTTTTTTTTCCCGCCCGAGTACAAAGCGCAGCGCGGCGAAGTTCTGACCGCAGACGTAACGGAACCGTGGACGCAAAGGGCTGGAATTTTCAATGGTTAACACCAACATGACCTCAATGTCACCGAGGAGAGAGCTGAAGAATTGCAAGCAAATATTCATTGGAGTCAACCTCAAATCAAGAAGAAGTGATGACAAACAAAGTCTGGTGCAGTAAATATCCGCAACATGATGATCGTTGTGGATTACGTACATGTGTCATGTGCGATTTTAGCAGTGTTCTATTTTTCCTGAAAGCACCACCGCGGTACAATAGTGAATCCCGTTTCTCGACAGGCTGACACTTGGCTCACGAGGCAGACAAGCGAAGGAGACATTTTTTTTCGAGTAGGAACTTGTCGACGTGAACCGTTTAATTACAGGGAGTGTCGGCGCCACAGCTTAATGTGCCCCTCGCAATTAATCCGGCGAGAGGATGTCATTATCTCCCAAAGCCTGGGCCGACCAAGATTTTGCGGCAGTGTCAAAACAAGGTCGGGGATGACACTAAATTGGGGAAAGGCAATGGGAGACCAAAATACAGCATCAAAGATGGACACGCAACTCCTCAGGTTCGACAGATGTGAGTTGATGTCACTCGGTTTCTTTACTCCCTCCTCCCTTTCCTTGAAAGACGTCGACCTCGGCCGCTTTGGGGATGGTGAGCAAATCGGACCGTGCCTAAAGTAGCGTCATTTCAAAGGGTAGAATTTAGATCACATGTGTCAAACTCAAGGCCCGGGGGGCCAGATCTGGCCCGCCGCATCATTTTATGTGGCCCGCGAAAGCAAATCAGACATCAACTTCTATGATGCTGGCTAAAATCTCGACCAAAATTTAAAATTCTCATATGTAACAAATAAGAGACACATTGTAAGCATGTTCTTGTCGCTAAACCCCTCATTACAGAAACTTAAACAATAGTTGAATAAACCGTTATTATTGACTTTCTAAAATTTGGTTTCAGTCATAACGGCGCTCCAAGGGAAACTGTAACTAAAATGTGGCCCATGACAAAAATGAGTTTGAGTTTGACACCCATGATTTAGATGATTAACAAAATGAGCATGGGATGTGTCCCCGTTTCACTTTTGGAATCGACACTCAGTTCTGAAATGAACAAACTTGTCTTCACGACGACTTACCGAGACAGTACAACTGGCGATCCGATTCTTCCTTTTTGTGCCTTTCACGGTTCCAATACGATTTGCCCTTCTAAGCAGAGCAGGTACGTCAGTGGGAAAGGGGCGTCCCGGGGGTACAGAGTGAGTCGGACATGGCGCCCAAGTCAGAGACGGCTCTGCGATGTGAGCGGTTTACTCTTGGCTGGCAAGAGGCATTCTTTCCCGCAAAGGAGATTAGGAAGAGCAAATGATGCATCCGTTCTTTTCTGGATGACCTGCGAAACTCCACTCGGTGATCTCTTCGGATCATCGAGTGAGTGGACTTTCTGAGGATATCTTTTGCGTTTCTTTTTTTCCCCCCCTTTTTGTGCCTTTCACAGTTCCAATACAACGATTATGCCCTTCTAAGCAGAGCGGGTACGTCAGTGGGGAAGGGGCGTCCCGGGGAGGTACAGAGTGAGTCGGACATGGCGCCCAAGTCAGAGACGACTATGCGATGTGAGCGGTTAACTATTGGCTGGCAAGAGGCATTCTTTCCCGCAAAGGAGATTAGGAAGAGCAAATGATGCATCCGTTCTTTTCTGGATGACCTGCGAAACTCCACTCGGTGATCTCTTCGGATCATCGAGTGAGTGGACTTTCTGAGGATATCTTTTGCGTTTCTTTTTTTCCCCCTCTTGAAGTCCAAAATTTGTTCCATGCTGGTTTTGGATGCTGTTTTGTCGCACGACTTTGGCTGTGATTATTCCACTTCACATGTTTATAGGCAGCAGTTTTGCCGGATGGGCACGGTAATGAGCGCCGGAAAGCGTTGTTGTGCGTTTCGCCGTTCGCTCGCTGCCCGCGTGGGCGTGCGCGTGTGTATTTGCCGCGTGCAAATGCGACCGGGCGGCCTGTCTCGTCCAGTGGCGCGTTTAACGAGACGTCGAGTTGCGCTCGGGCCAAATCACACGGCGAGTGCCTCCGCGCCATTTTCAAGATGCTCCAATTATATCTGCCGACCGTGCACATATTGGCCAGCTTTCCAATAATAGCGTATCTGTTTCCGTTCTAATGGCTGACATTGCTTGGCTCATCCATGCATGGATGTCGATTGCGCTCTTCATGCTTTGCGCCGACACGCGGTCCCGGCACGGCGACCGCGCCTTGGCGGCTTTGCCGTGTGTTTCGGCAAGCGCCACGGTTGTATGCGCCCGGATTTCTGCGTGCGCATGAGTTGATTTGGGGATGGGCATTTGTGCCGTATGAACCTTGACATCTCGGCCTTGTTTGGATGCACTCCGACACGCAAGTGTGCACTTGCCATGTCAAAACCGTGACTGAGCCCAATTTGTCTGTGTCGGCGTGTGCCCGAGCGTACTTGCGCGCGCTCGTTGCGGGTGAGGTTTCAAACCGCGCTGCAGCATGCGGGCTTTGAAGCCGCCGGGGTCGGGTCGGTGGCGGGGGGGGGCGTGACCCTTTGGAGCTGGGATAGCCTCTGTGTGGCGCGCACCCCTCCCTCTAACCCTTCCTCACCCTTCTACCCGGACAAAGCCTTGGTCCGCCGTCCAAGCGCAACCAAAAGTGCCAAATTGGTGCTCGGCTGGAAGTCTCCCCATTTCCCAGCTCCACATTGGCATACTGCGGTTCCATCCTCAGCCTCGCCTTGCGCGCGCAAATGACACATAAATAACCAAAACTGTCCACCACCCAGGCAAATTCAAATGCACCTGTCAAAGTGATGAAGCACCGGCCCGCAGGGAGGCATTGTTTACATTTCTCCTCCACTCGTCGCGAAAGTGAGATTCTAATTATTTCTCTCACTTTAAATTAAAGCCACGCAGGGACCAGAGGTGCAAAACAAAGGGTATCGTGGCCCGGGTGCACGAGCACCTCCGTCCTTCCGATGAGCAGGAGTAACCTGGAGAATGGTGGGAAAAAGCGCCAAAATATCTGAGACGGAATGACACCCGCTGGCTCGCGTGTCATTCAGTCGCCGCCGCCGTTTGAGCTTTCTCGTTATTACCGGGGCCCGAGCTTGAGAAGAATGTCCCCTTTCCCGAAAAGACTTTTGATTGGTCCAACAGGCCCACAAACTCACCAATAGTGGCGAGCGCGTGGATTTTGAAGGAACCTCAACAGCCAAGCTATTCGTCAAGAAAAACGTCCCGTACTCCCCTCCACCAGTTTTGCCGAGCAACACCATCCAGAGTCAAGAAAAAACGTCCTGTACTCGATCCCCTCCACCAGTTTTGCCGAGCAACACCATCCAGCTTGATGTCGAAAGGCACGCCTGATAATGTCCTTTTTTGTGTCCGTATTGGGCTCGGTGGGCAGGAAATGCCATTTCCCCCGAGAAAGGCTGGCCGAGTGTCTTTGCGAGGCAGGTCTGTCCCCCCTCGCCCGCTCGCCCCTTTGCCGTAATGTCTCCAAATCCTGAAATTGATGTCCCTGCTGGAAAACATGCTTTGCCATTGATAGTCCTCCGCCAAAATGCATCAGGTCTGTCTCTCGTGATGCCAGTCAAGGGACTGATGCGGACTCTATCAGATTCTAAATACAGACCCCGACAATAAATCCCGGCTTGATTGGCTGGCAATTGGGTTAGCTCACTTGAATGCTTTCTGCTTGAACCGCAGCTGGCCGGCCTGCCTGCTCCACGCAGGCACCGAACCTAAATCAGTCACTTAGTGCTATCAAATGGAACAATGGCGGAGTGCAAAGAGCACTCCGACTCTTGTTAGAAAGCAAGAAGCCAGGCGGGCACCGGCGGAACAAAACCAGACGAGTCGGGTCGTCGTGCGGAGCCTCGGAGGCTCTTTTTCCGCGTTGCGTGAAATGGCGTCAACCGAGCCGCACGCGCAAAATCTTCTCAAGCTTTTGTTTGGCCTCGTCAACTGGATTTTGCATGCTCATTCGCAGAGGACCGTAACATGGGGAATAGTCGGGGGGGGGGGGGAATGGCTTTTCGTTGTTCAAGGCAGAATCCGCAACAGCACAAGGAGACGCCCAAATGGGTGCATTGAAACCAAAGTGACTCCCGGCCCTCAGCAGACAGCTTCTCTTGTCGACTCTCACCGGAAAATTCGAAAAACAACAACAACGAGCGACGGGACCGTTTTCGTTTTTTAATCTTCAATTGGTTGCGATTGTGACTCAGTCGTTTGGGTTTCAAAATAGCTCGTGTGTCCCTTGTTCAGCATTTGGCGTGCAATTGCTAAAATGTCCACTTGGTGTGTTTTATTTTGATGGGTTTGCACACCGTCCTTGTACTCAGGACCTTCCCAACCATTTTGCCAAAAAGTAGCGTACAACGAAAGACAAGTTCAACGGAAAGGCACGTTGCAGGCAACTCGGAGCCTTGTTGGCGAGGGTCATAACAGCAATTAGGATGAATACTAACCAAATAGACGGATGGCCGGCTGGCAAGGCACACATTGTTTGGGCGTATGCGCCCGCCCGCACGCACTCAGGCACACAGAGTCCACTGAGCTCATCCTGGTGTTGGATTCCGCACAAAGAGAAATATGCATCCGTTCCATTTCGGAATCCGGGGTTGAGCCGCACGACGATATAGAGAGACAAGAGCATAGGCGCAGTGGGGCGCACGCAAGCAGCCCCCTGCCCCGCGTGCGGCATTTTGACAATGACATCCTTTCTAATGGCGAGACGGCCTGCTTTGCAGCTTCTGCGGTGGCTCCAATTACAAGTGAGGGAACGGGCCTCACTGTTTTCTCTGCAAAGTGCCTTGAGTTGGATTTGGCTAAGTGTTTTGAGGTGCCGGCTGACATGGATACGCCACTAAATGAAACCTTTCCTTCACTTTGACCCCGACGCTCCCGGTCGAACGAGCGGTTGTTTTTCCTCCCGCAGTTTCGGTGTTTTCTGACCAGTAATAATTGCCCCACCAATTCTGGGGTCACCTTGAATTTTGCTGCGGAAAGACTTCCTCTTTGCGACCGCGCTGGTTTTGCCGTCCTTTGGCCATTTCATCCTTTCCGAGGGGCCAGTCGATTTGAACGCCTGGCGTGGGCTTCGTCGGAGAGGTGATGCAAAAGGAATGCACCCGAGCGTGCGCGCTTTCCCTTCCCTTCCCTGCGTCGTGGACGCCGTGTGCAACAGCCACCCCAAATTGTGCACTCGGGACACATTGGGGCCTTTACCAGAGCACACTTCCAGCGAGAGCTTCCATGATCTTCACACGTGGGTGACTCCGAGTTACATGACCTATATAACGGGTTACACGCTCCGCTTGCTGCCTGCGTCTCACCCTCATGGAGACGGGCCGAGCATTGCAGGTGCGCAAGCCCCAAATATCCAAACAGATCCACGCACGGCGAGCGGGCCTGCCATCGGGGTGAAGCGGACGTGCGGAGGATCACGTTTACAACCTGCCACCGAGTGGGGCCCATCGGCTTCATGCGCTCGTGACCATCCCTGTTTTTCTGACGTCTGCCGTGAGACGCGGCGCCGCTGGCCGCCCGAAAATCTTGAAAAATCCAAAACGGTTGGCCTTCTCCCCTTGGATGCTATGTAAGCGTTTTGCAAAGTAACAAGAAGACGCCATTGCTCGCTCGACTGATTTGAGCCTGTTGAACGAATTAAAATTGAAGAACATTTCAAGTGGCCCTCGTATCATCCTTGCGGCCCTCGACGGAAAAAGTTTGGACACGCCTGCTATAGATCACTTGATCTCGCACCGATTGCTATTTTGTCGTTACCTTTCTCGTTGGCATTTGTTTGTTTAACTTCAAATGATTGTCCCATTTTTAACACAACAGATCACACATTTGTGTTCGATTCTGGTCTGTAGAGGGAAAGTCGACCAAATGCGATCATCAATCTGATTGTGCGTGCGTGTGTGTGTGACTAGGTGACAGTCTATGACTACATGTGGACAGCAGAGAACCCGTCGGCCGCTGACGCAACCCCCACGGATGAGCGGCATCAGGAGCCCTCTCCCTTGCCACAGGGAGAGACCAGCACCCACGTAGCCATCCACACGCTCTACGTCGGCGGGCTCAAGCAAAGATATCGGCATTTCCTCCGGCGGCCGGACGGGGCCATCGTTGAGGTACGGCATTTCGGAGGCTCGCCTGCTTTGTTTGCGTAAGGTGACAGGATGAACGGTCTTGTCTTCATTTGCACCGAACGTTGTTGTGCCCTGCCACGGGTGCCTGCTCGTCATTTTTGGGGGCTTAAGGCAAGATAAGGAAAGGTGGGTGGGATGCAGATTGCCGGCCCCCTCCCTCTTGCCATCCTGGCTCGACACCCTCACGCACAGTGAGATGCGGAGGGAGGACGGTGACTTGCAGCTTCAAAATCGGGAGCGGACACGAGTGCAGCCGTGCGGTGCGAAGAGAGCGAGTGGCAACGCCGCGAACCTGAAGAACGAGAATCCCAAAGGTTTTCCTTGGGCAAAAACAAATGTAAAACGCTGTTTCCTTCTCAAATAGAAGAGAAAGGATTTGCCCCCAGAAACAAATCCCGACTTGGTTGGAAAGATCAGTTGTAGTCACTGCTTACCAAATCGCAATTGCCTGCTCGCGCCGCGTCGAGACGAAGGCTTGACAACAACGCCGGCCCGACTGACTCAACGGAGGGAGGCGCTCGGGGAATTTAATTACATTGCCAACCTCTTTCATCCTGACTTTTGACAAGACGCTGCAGTGTGAAACATTGCTTCATTAGCGCTACCTGACAAGTGCTGCATTTATTCCTTTCTTCAATCATTCCTGTCAGTCCCCCCTGAGAGCAACCTGCATCATCTCCACTAGATTAATATTTGGAAGTTTTGACTGTCAGAGGAATGACGGGAGGAGGAGGAGGGAGGTGGCAACTGTACATCCACGCTAACAATTAGCTCGGAGGCCCTGTTACATCCTAATAGTCCTCTGTCATGATTTGACTGATGGGGAGTGTAAACATGCAACGTGGCTCTCGCTCTCTCTCGCTCTCTCTCTGGGGTGCGCCGGGCCCTAGCCCGCAGACCCAGATCAGACGTCCTGGCGAAGAACTCACGCAAAACGCTTGGCCACAAATACATCGCTGAAGACAATTCAGAAGAGTTGCGTCGAGGCCACGGAAGGATGCGCGCGTCTCCTCGGGCGCTTCTGTCTGTCGTTTGCGACCTCGCCGCAAGAGACGCCGAGGGCGTTCCGCCCGCCGGTGGAGAGAGACCCGCAGCATTAAAAGGACGGCGATGGCCAGAGAGTCCCGACTCCATCCGACCTCTCATGCATATTCCCGAGTCATCCTCCCCTGGCTGTATGGACCGCTTTTATGTATGTGCGAGCAACCTGGAATCACCAAAGGGCATTCCGGGCACACGTGCGCTGATTTTTATTGGCATTTTATGCTCTGGCATTCAGATACGCACGCAACAGGGCGCCGTGTGCATATTGGCCTCCAGATGTACAGCGATGGCTCTTTCGAGATAAATAGCAATAAAAGCAAAACAGATGAGACAATAGCAAACAAAACGGAAAACATCGAGATTGTGGGCAGACGTCCAAAAGGAGAATTGAGATTTGGTTCTGTCCCAAGACCCGAACTAAAACCCGAAATGCATTGCAAAAAAAAAATATTTTCTACTTTCTACAAAATCACCGTCTTTCTACTCAATCGGTTCCCAACTAAAAATTGACAATGGCCCAATGATAATGAGTTGCCGCTTCCCAAACGCAAAGAGAGTCCATGTCTGCAAGTGATCTTTTCCTCTGTTGTGTCCTCCACAGCAGAGAAAATGCAAGGTGTTTTTTTTTTCCTTTCCAAACGGGGCCTTTTTTTTTTTTTTTTTCGTTGTCAAATCTTTGGCCAAACCTGCCCTCCGAGATCGACAGTGATACAAATATTTAACCCCATTTAAATATGTAATGCTGTGACTCCACTCTGGTTAGCGAGGGTAATTGTGCTCCTGAAGAAGGCTGCTTCCATTTACTGAGGCAATATTGACGGATGGCTCATTTCCTTTAAAGTGTTCTGTTTTCATAGGCAGCCCCGGAGGAGTCGCTCCTCCCTTAGAATAACATGACCACAGCTCCGGGGGCCAGCGGCTTTGCATATTACTCACACATTTACAGGCTAAATTTGTCTAAACGAACACCTTCACAATTAAAGTCCCGGAAGAATGGCCCTGAGCTGTGGACATTGTGAGACACTGTTTGGAAGGCACCCAACAGTCAGGTGTGTCCTGTTTGCCGAAATGTGAGAAAATGAAAAGCGGCCGTGCAAAATGAAATGTTCCAATTGTTGATACAGCCATTATTCCACCAGTTACTGTATGTTGATTGAAGCGTTTTCCCACGCTCTCTGTTGAGAGATTCCTGGCGAAGCGGTGCAAATATGTGGTCAAACGCCCAAATATAATGAGCTCTTTATTATATATATATATATCGTACTCAAAGAAAGTTCATATTAATGATCCCTCATATGCTCTCCCTCTGCATATGGCCCCGGGCGCGTGTCTGTGATATTGGCCACGCTGCTGGAACTGCGCAGCGGAATCACAACCATACAAAACGTCGCCATCCGTGTGCTCGCACGCAAAAAAAAAAAAAAAAAAAAGTACGTCGAAGGTAAAGTGAGGTGTAGCTTTGCAAACACTCATGACCTATAAAACAGATGTTCCACAGATGCCATCTCACAAAAAGCGCTGCTGACAACAACAGTTAGGGCCGAAATGACGCAGGCAACTGCACCCGCGTAACGCGAGGCCTTCGGTGAAGGCCTCGTAAGCGCTCTGTCTGCAGAAACAAGATGGCTGATGAAGAAATTAATGCAGGCAAAGTCATTATCTTCCCTCCTAAAACCACAGTGTGTTTATGTCCCCCCGCGTCGCTCTTTTCCTCGCGGGCTAGCACTTAAGTGTCGACGGACAACTGTGCTCGCGTTTTTTGTCTCCTCGCTCCATATGGAAGGCGGCAGCATATGCAAAAAACTGGCTTATTTTCTACTTTCTACAAAATCACGTCTTTCTACTCAATCGGTTCCCAACTAAAAATTGACAATGGCCCAATGATAATGAGTTGCCGCTTCCCAAACGCAAAGAGAGTCCATGTCTGCAAGTGATCTTTTCCTCTGTTGTGTCCTCCACAGCAGAGAAAATGCAAGGTGTTTTTTTTTTCCTTTCCAAACGGGGCCTTTTTTTTTTTTTTTTTCGTTGTCAAATCTTTGGCCAAACCTGCCCTCCGAGATCGACAGTGATACAAATATTTAACCCCATTTAAATATGTAATGCTGTGACTCCACTCTGGTTAGCGAGGGTAATTGTGCTCCTGAAGAAGGCTGCTTCCATTTACTGAGGCAATATTGACGGATGGCTCATTTCCTTTAAAGTGTTCTGTTTTCATAGGCAGTGTCCTGGACGCCGGTGCCCCGGAGGAGTCGCTCCTCCCTTAGAATAACATGACCACAGCTCCGGGGGCCAGCGGCTTTGCATATTACTCACACATTTACAGGCTAAATTTGTCTAAACGAACACCTTCACAATTAAAGTCCCGGAAGAATGGCCCTGAGCTGTGGACATTGTGAGACACTGTTTGGAAGGCACCCAACAGTCAGGTGTGTCCTGTTTGCCGAAATGTGAGAAAATGAAAAGCGGCCGTGCAAAATGAAATGTTCCAATTGTTGATACAGCCATTATTCCACCAGTTACTGTATGTTGATTGAAGCGTTTTCCCACGCTCTCTGTTGAGAGATTCCTGGCGAAGCGGTGCAAATATGTGGTCAAACGCCCAAATATAATGAGCTCTTTATTATATATATATATATCGTACTCAAAGAAAGTTCATATTAATGATCCCTCATATGCTCTCCCTCTGCATATGGCCCCGGGCGCGTGTCTGTGATATTGGCCACGCTGCTGGAACTGCGCAGCGGAATCACAACCATACAAAACGTCGCCATCCGTGTGCTCGCACGCAAAAAAAAAAAAAAAAAAAAGTACGTCGAAGGTAAAGTGAGGTGTAGCTTTGCAAACACTCATGACCTATAAAACAGATGTTCCACAGATGCCATCTCACAAAAAGCGCTGCTGACAACAACAGTTAGGGCCGAAATGACGCAGGCAACTGCACCCGCGTAACGCGAGGCCTTCGGTGAAGGCCTCGTAAGCGCTCTGTCTGCAGAAACAAGATGGCTGATGAAGAAATTAATGCAGGCAAAGTCATTATCTTCCCTCCTAAAACCACAGTGTGTTTATGTCCCCCCGCGTCGCTCTTTTCCTCGCGGGCTAGCACTTAAGTGTCGACGGACAACTGTGCTCGCGTTTTTTGTCTCCTCGCTCCATATGGAAGGCGGCAGCATATGCAAAAAACTGGCTCGGCTTCTGTGAAACTTCAATTAAAGATGCACAACTAAGGCTCTGCCAGCTTGACTATTACCTCTCCCCGCAAATTATTTATGGCGCCGCAAAAAAAAAAATGCTGATGAGGAGTATCTCCACTGACAAGGATAAATAAAAATGGCAATTTCCGCAGCGCTTTTGCTCTCATTCTTTCTGGGTGATGTGCCGAAACACTTTCGGAGAGGGGATGCAGTTTATGCACGCTGTCGTTTTCGACTGCCGTTGCTTTGTTTGCATTATGCGTCATGCTTTGGTCTGAATTTGGTTCGCTCCTTCTTCTAGAAAAGACTATCGACAAAAGTATCGGGACGCTTGCCCAATAAATTGAGCATTCAAAACGGCTGGGAAACTTGGTGGGGTCAGGTAGGGAAGCCCGGGCACCCGTCTCCCGAGCAACTTCATCCAGCTCTTCTGGTGGAGTGGGCCCAGAACATCCTAAGCAGATGCCCATACCGGCTCCCGGGAATTCCCCTCAGTGCAAAGGAGCGGCCGGCGGCTTTGCCCTCCCGGATGACCGAGCTGCTCACGCTGTCCCGGACACCCTGCAGGGGAGACTCGTTTCGGCCACGTTTTTCCGTGCTCTTCTTTCTTATATTCTCATAACTCATGACCAGAGTGAGGTCGGAAAGGCGATATCCACCAGTAAATGGACGGCTTTGCCGCTAAGCTGAGCTCACCCTTCACCGTGACAGACCGACGCATAGTCTGCATGACTCCAGACAGCCGTCCGCCTGTCAATCCCCTGCTCCAGTCTTCCCTCGCTTGTGAACCAGACCCCGAGCCACTTGAATTCCTCCACTTCTTGCTGGATACGAACTATTCCGCCCTTTTCTGGATGAGAACCATGCCCTCCAACTCTGGGGGGGGGGGGGATCGTTCCAGATTTCTTCTGGAGTCCACATCGTCACGATTAGTTGACGGAGCTCTTGTCTGATCCGATCCTCCCTTTCTTTGTAGCTCTCAGAAGGGATGATGTGTGCTCCTGCGGATATTTCTGTATAAGCTGTATGATGAGCTGGAAATTGGTTCAGGGTGTTTAACAGGGAAGCGGAAAGGGATTTAGCCGAACTGTTCTTACGTCGACTTGTCCAAATGATGTGATGACACAAACATCACGCAGAGAGGATGATGAGTAAGAAGCGCAAGAAGGACGAATGAATAAGTGACAAGCCGTGAAATGTGCCACGAACGATCCTCCCTTTGTCACCACCACACAAGCGGCGATCCCGACCAATATTGACCTCATTTATCATGCAGGGAATACCAAGAGGTTAACCTTTTGAAAAACACCTTGCAGCCACAATAATTGACAAAGCACATCAATTCTGCGCCCGCCGTTCTTTTTTTTTTGTAATTACTCCGTCCCCCGTTTGATTGCTGCTTTGGTGCTGGAGGACCCACGCTTCATTTGCCACGAGGTCGTCGTCAGCCCTCAGAAATAAAGTATGATTCTGATTCATAAAACCGCGTATGTGTGTGTGTGTGCGTGCGTGTCGGAGTTTGTATACGGCTCGAAGACAGAGGAGAATGTCCTTGGCTATATACGGCATGTTGCATGAATAGATCAATGCCTCCCTGGCAGCCATATCTGCTTAGCAGGAGGACTTCTCCAAAGTACACCGCATGTAATTATCTGGCAAGTTAGTACAGGTTTTAGATAAAGGCACTCTCCGCGAAACATTTTTCAACTTGGCTGCCCTATCTCTGCAATTTGCAGCTGTAAAAAAAAAAAAAAAAAAGAAGGGCCTGGTGACATTTTTCCACGTGGAACATGCTAAGTGTATGGTATGGATTCACAAAATGGCAGCTGACTAGCTTTGTAAAGGACTTGATACTTTCTTTATCACTTATACAGTTGTAACGGTGAAGACATTTTGTGATTAAAAGTTTGAAGCTTACGATACTACTTTAGAAAAAGAAATCCTGACCAATCATAGCAATAACAACTGCCACTAATTCAACTATTCCGATCACTTCAACGAATTGGTTTTCCAAAAGCAATTTAGCCGTTCGCCTTTACGGTCGCTAATCAAATGAGATCCTCGGAGTTGGGAACAAGCATTTTTTTTTTAAGGAAACAAGTGTAATATTCAGCGCCCAAATTTTAAAATGAACTCCTATAGACGATTGAAAATGTTTTCACTCGCTTTTTTAAATTGAGAAAAAAAAAGAGAGGTTTCAGGCGAATCTTTTCCTTTGGGTTCATATTTGTTGCTCTGGCTCCAGAGGAGTAATTTCCTCACGACACTCATGAGGCCTCACCACACGTCATTGACGGGGATGCGCTCGGCTCGGCTCGGCTTTTCTGAAGCGAGAGGCTGCGCTCATACGCTTGTCCACGTGTTGCCTGAGAAATGCCCACCGACTGCGCGCGTGTGGTTTCCCGAAGGTGATCGGTGACCTGGAGGGCTTGGACCGTGCAACCAGAACGGCGCCTCGTGCAGGCCAGCGATCAGAGCCTTGGACGGTGGGCCGGGAGGGCTCGGGCGTCACCCGCCAGCTACGGAAAAGAAAGAAGCTTTTTGGACGTGAGTGCTGTCGCCGAATTTGGTTGATGAGAGCACATAATGACGAGTACACACTGAGGAGATGCCACTGACTCATGTCAAACACGCAAGCCGGCTACCTGCGCAAACATTTTCTTCCCGCTGTTTGTTCAACTGAATTTGCACAGTTTTCATGGCGGCTCTCTTCCCTCAGGGTGTCCTCGTGTTGAGCCAGTAGGAGGAAGCAGGTGTGACTCCGCTTAAGAACAAGACCTCAACCAATGAGAGTGAAGCAAAGGGTTTGGACACCAAACTGTTGTCTTGTCACTTTCACAACTGTCATTTTGACTCGGGGTTTGAGGTCGACGTTGAGCTTTTATCAGTCTTTCACCAATCTTGCCAGCCCTCCCACAGACACACACATTAGCCCTTAAGTCATGCCTTTGTCACATCTCGGCCCGGTGACCGTCACGCACTGAACGTTGGAGTCAGCCAGTCCTCCATGAAGCGTCTCCAGTCGGTCCAGAATGCTGCTGCTCACCTCTCGACTGGTACTCGCATCACACTCCTGCTCTGGCACCCCTTCACCGGCTCATTTCAGAGTTCGTTTGCTGGAGATCCTCTGATTGGTTTTCCAATCTTGAAATGGCCCGGCCCCACCTCGCCTCTCCGAGCTCCTCTGCGCCCGCCCGGTGCCTCGGGTCTGCGGACCAGACACTCTTAAGAGGTACCGTGAACTAAGCGCAGGCTCCGAGGGGATGGAGCCTTTCCCGTTGCCGCTCCCTCTCTTTGGAATGAACTTTTGACCAGCCCCCACAGTGCCCATCTTAAAAAAAATAAAAAAAACTCGTCTTCAGACTCCTTTTTATTGTTTGGCTTTTGACTCTAAGCGCTGTAGGAATACATTTGAGTCGAGTTGAGCGTTCACCCCCATTTTCTAGAGCGCTTTTCGTTATTAGGTTAGTGAGTGAACTGAAGCCCGTCGTTGCTGTCAATGGGCGTCCGCGCAAAAAAAGCCAAGCAAACTATTCACACGACTATTTACCGTCTTCAATGAGCCATTTATGTTTTGGTAATGTTGGAGGGCTGTCTCATTGACACAAATATGTTTTAGACGTGAATATGTCACTTATTTCAATATAGTAATGGTAAATAGTCAAGGGAGCTCCACCGAGGGCTCCTATTGATTCCCACAAACCGAAACATGGTTTGGAAACATTTGTCATGCATTCAAGTGGATGGAAATGGTTGATCGACACATACTTTGATCATATTCCATCCACGTTGAAGCCAGAAATGAAACCCGATTGTAAGTCGAGAGTTTGACGATAGCCGTTGTAAAAGTTACTCATCTCAAATTCAGTGATAAAATGTCCATATTGGCCTCCCATTAGAAGGGATAATATTCCAGCCAGCTTGACGTGGATTGAATATGTGTCTGCTCGTCGGTGCTCGGCGTAATGAAGCGGTTCACAAATCAAGCAATAACGGCCGCCTACTTACGCATATTGCTTAATTAGAGGTTGTGAGCTTATTAGCATGTGTCACAGCCGCGGCGCCACGGGATGACGGGCATCCGGGGCAGATGTCATTGAAGGACGCCCTTGAAAGATTTCTTCGAGAGCTAAACTAAAATCGGGGCAAAATAACCCGACAGTGTCGTCGGTTCTCCCTTTTGAGGAGCCGTTACACATTTTGGATACGTTTGCACCAACGCACTTCTTTGGCCTTCAAGTCGATCCTTATATTCGGATTTCCGTCAAAGAGGCAGCGCACCGTTGCTCATGGCTTTCATGAGCAATGTTGAACAAGTTTCATGAGCTCATCACTTTTATCCATAAAGCTTCGTGAGGTTGAAAATAGCACACTGTGTAATGGTTTTTTTTTTTCATGTTCATTTTCAATAAAGTATAGAAACTTTTCTTCTGATCTGTTTGGATATTTGTTTCTTTGTACACTATTGATAAAAGGCTTCTATTAGTGTACCCTCCCCCTTTTCATCCAAGCAACAAAGCCTCTCCCAAGTGATGCTGAAGGGTGCAACAGCAGAGCGGCGGAAGGAATTGCACTGTTTCAAATATTTGATTGCTGAGGACAAACATTATTTTCACACAATCTAAATTTCAAATTGGTCCCTGGGAGAAAAAAACACGACTGGGGGGGTAGAAAGACATGCCGCTAGGTCTGAGCGCCGCACATCTGCTGATTTATGTTAAAAGCAAAAAAAAAAAAACAAAAAAAAAAACCCTTTTTCATGAAGGGAACTGTGACTTTTTGAAGTTGTGTGTGTGTGCGTGCGTGTGCGTGTGTGCATCTGCTCTGCCGAGCCAACCTGGGGATGCAGCCCGAGTGACATGGGGAGGAGGTGGAGGAATGGAAACAAATTCAAAGACTTGTTGTGTAGCCCTCAGCTTGAGTTTTTTAGCTAACGGCGCTTGCATTCACAAGTGCTGTCGAGCTCATTATGCGTCTCGTTGAGATTGGCGACACTTTGGGCAAAGCCCGATTCAATTGAATTCAACGCACCCAAATAAATAAAAGGGATTCAACGTCACCTTTTGGCGGCTTTTGCCTGGCTTTGTTTGTTTTTCTTTTTCTTTTGTAATTTCAGCACTTTTGTGATTGATTTTGAAACCCCCCAAAAACATGACACTCATTGCTGCGCTTTATACCCTGAAACGACACAGAGAGAAAATTGGCCAGAGCAAGCCTATCCCAGCCGTTGGACCGATGGTGTCAATCGTTGCCGACACCATCCACACAGACATTTGCTCATGATGTACTCTCGCTAAACCACCCATAAGCTTTTATTAGCAGTAGCCAAACTGTGTTCAACCTGACCAAACAAGTGTTCCGCCATTCTTTTGTTCAAAAGCGCAAATATGCAAATCAGATGTGCGTTCTCGACCTCCGTCAGGTGTTTTGGTCCAATCTGTACTCTTCTTCGCTGACCCTGAACATGACATCCTGGTGCTCAAGCTTTGAGAAACACGGGGTCAAAAGGAAGCGAGGAAGGAAACGAGGCTCCGCATCAGCATGTCAATGTTGCGCCGTATTTCAGCGGCATCTGGATAGATCACGTGCCTGCCTACGCACATATTTATTTCTTTGAGTGGATTCGGGCGGGCAGATGTCCCGCTCACAAGGAGAAATCCTTTGCGCCGGGTGAAAAAAGGGAGGGGAGGTGCAGTGGAGGGAAAAAAAAAAAGATCTGAATATGCAAATGTAGTCACAGTGTGGAACCTTATAATGAGTGGGAAACGGAGACACCATCTTTCATTGTGCAGAGGTCATCGCTGAATGCCGGGCAGCTGGGCCCGGCTTCTTTTCTCTGAAACCTCGAGCCGCCACCGCCACCTCCCACCTTCCCCTGTCATCTCCCAGAAACTTGAAGCATGGTGCGCCACAAGGGAACGTGGCGCACCTCCACATTGCAGACTGAACACAAACTGCGGCTGCACCCGAAGGCCTCCGTCATTGCACGCCAACGCTCAATGTTTCGCAACCGAATTCATTTGTCGTTTGAGGAGTTCATGTTTTGTAAATAATCAATACAAAAGCAATGGTATTCAAATGTATTCATGTTAATTATTTCGATACATGTTTACAATGTGAGCTTCAAAGTTGCTTCATGAATCAGCTGTTCTATTGTTTGGACTCCTCTCGATGGCCGCCCGTCTCTGTTCAACATTGGGCTGAAAGTACACTGACTTGCCATTCCTCAAACCGCTTTATTTTGACCACCAGTGTCATCTAGAAGAGTCCAAAAAAATATATCGATGTACAACCGGTTCACGAAGCAACTTTGAAGCGTCATTTTTCCTCGTAATGCCAGTTTCACCAACGGGCAAAAAAAAAATGTCGGTGGTGTCCGGAGCTGTGTCAAGCTGACCGCGCGTTGGAAAATGAATGGAAAGCAGTCCAAAGCGTCACTTGGCATATTCATCTTCTTCTTCTACTTTTCTTTTTGATCCACCCTGCAGTGTGTGGTAAATTTATGAGAGCGCTCAATGCCTCCCGAACAACATTGCAACATAGCACGTGACTGACATTACCTCTGTCATTTGCCTGACATTGAGCTATCAGCCCGATCTCTGGAAGGACTCTTCAAATACTCCCGAGTTTCAATGCTAAAAATGTCATGAACTTCACGCTTCATTGGCTCTGACATTGCTTAATTAATGGGCGCATTTAAAGTACATAGGGCCCCCCATAATTGATTTATATGCATGATTTGCACATACAGCTGTTGGTTCCTGTAGGAGAGTCATCACTCAGAAAGTGGCACCGCTGATGATAGTGTGGCAAGGTAACAGCGGAGCGCTCAGTTGGCTCAGCCAGCCTTGGGAAAAATACGATGAATTTCGGCAGCTTTTTTTTCCTTTTTCACATTCGTCTTCATCTGCATCTTCATCTGGGGGCGGCCTATCCCAATTGACTTCAAGCAGGAGGCGGGGCACACTCTCGACTACTTGCAACTTAATCCGCGGGGCAAAAATGACACTTTGACATTTTATTTTTTAGGATTGTAGCAAATCCTGATGTGAAAAATAAGGGTCAAATATGATGTCATTTGACTCTTTCATGGCGGATAAATGTTTTAAATATGGCTGCTCACCTTTCAAGCACTAAAACACCGATGAGAGAAGTGGAAGTCACGCTTCCAAGCCAAAGTTTAAAAAAAGAAGTAAAACAAACATGGCTGACGTGACGACTTGCAACTCAATCCGCGGGGCAAAAGTGACACTTTGACATTTTATTTTTAGGATTGTAGCAAATCCTGATGTGAAAAATAAGGGTCAAATATGATGTCATTTGACTCTTTCATGGCGGATAAATGTTTTAAATATGGCTGCTCACCTTTCAAGCACTAAAACACCGATGAGAGAAGTGGAAGTCACGCTTCCAAGCCAAAGTTTAAAAAAAGAAGTAAAACAAACATGGCTGACGAGCAGAGGTGCATCACAATCAAGATGGGACGCTGAACAGCTGACACAATAACTATAGTGTCAGCAGCCTTCGCAGTTCCGTTTTCATGACCACTTTACTGACTGCAGATGCAGTGCGGATGCGGTGTAGTGGAGAGCCAGCGCTAAAGTGAAGCTGAGAGCAAGAGAGAGGACCAAGTGGGACGGGAGAAGTGAACCTTTGCCGCTGTTGCACCCGTGTGACCCTCCATCAGTCGCACTGTGAGTTGTTTGTTTGTTACGTCATGCATGCTACGTTTGCCAGACTCGAATTTCGGGTTTGCGGTCATACATGTCTATGAGCTGGACGTCCACAGACTACTAGTAGTCGGAGACTTCAGACCGAAAGCGGGAGATCCCGGATACAAGCGGCCGAAATGAGTTCAATAGTCAGCGCGGCATAAGGCAGGAGGAGTACTACATCCCAGCGCCAAATCAATATCACATTACTTTGAGTGTGAGAGCATAAACAAGACTCATCAAACTGATTATATTTGATGCTACGGTGGCAGTTTCATTTACCGTGGCCC